GTGGTTAGAAAAAATCAAAGGCCTGAGCACTTTGGGGACATCTTATGTAATAATCAAATACTTATTAATGGACTTCAACAAGGCCCAGTTTCTTCTTAAGAAGATACTCATTATTTTTACATTTGTTGTATTTTTTTGTTAGTCTTGTTTTGAGTCTTGACAAACTCTTTAATACATTCAATTAAATTTTTATTATTTACTAGAATGAAATATTATTCAATAATAAAAATATATTTGGGAAAGAATTATTTTGAGTTTAAAATCAAAAGAAAATATATATTGTATGAGCTGTGACTTTCAAAAAAAATAATTATTGGATTAGGAATCTGTTGGTATCAATACCAAAAAAGAAAGCACAAAATAAAATAAAATAAAAAAGGGAAATAGGAAGAGATAATGGGGGGACTCGTAAAATGGAACATTGATTTAGTTGTGTGGCAGAGAGAATCTCATCCAAAATGAGACAAAGCGAGAAGTTGCTTTAGAAAAGTTTGTGTGCGTTGTCGATTCCATATTTGCATCTAAACCCTAATATCACCAACCCCTCCATTTATATAAAAAGCAAAATAAAACTCAAATTAAAGTATGTGTGAGTGAAACTTCCATTATTCCCTTCTCTGTATAACGTATAGTCATGAAGTTATAATGTGTGTACATATCTCTATGTAGATGCATGATAAGCAGGTTAAAAGACAGTGAACGATCCTTATAGATCTTGATTAACATAACATTTGTTCTTCCTCGGAGATAAGAAATACAAAAAATTCGTGAAAGTAACAAAAGAGGGATACCACATTAAAATGTCAAGTAACTTGAACCAGTATTCAAACCATACCATCATAAGTGTGTCCATTCACTTAGTTTAAACATCCATGCATCTGAACAAAACGTTGAAAATAGGATGTGTGTTGATAAGGGAAGTCTATAAATAAAATTTTCTATTTCATATAAGCTTGCAGTACATAAGTTTGTGCTACATTTTGAATAGAAGAAAAAAATAAACTTAAAAATATGAATTACGATCTTACAAAATATATTTCAGAATTTGTATCATTTTTACATATCGATTGATGCTATATGTATAAATTTTTTCCTGGTTTAACGATATTTGTATCACTATAGCAAATTATGACTCTTTCTTAAAATTTTGATTTTAAATTATATCATAAAAAAAAAATTAATGCAAAACTTTTATTAACAACTACTCCGTACATAAGAAAATTATCTTTGATGTTGTTAGGGATTCCAGGAAAATTAACAACTTATTAATCCCTAACAACATAAATAAATGTCGTTGTCATATTAAAAGAAAGTTTCACACGGATAAATCCCCCCACAGGTTTTCTAGGATGACAAATCCAATAAGTACTTTTGTCTTTTTCCTATCAAAAGATGTATCAACACTGTAGATTTTTTATTCATAATCATCATCCCTGTCGAATGGTTTTATAAACTCAACGGGCTTATCAACTAACGTGTCATGTTTTGATTCCTCCTGATTAACTTCGATAAAAGGAAACTGGCCTTTTTCAGCAATATTAGAAAATAATGGCTTCTTTTGCTTGCTTATTGGTTGAGAGTTAGTTTTCTTCTTCTTTTTTTGTGTTCATTTTTTTTCCTATTCAAAATTAGATTAGATAGCATAACTCTTTCAAAGACGGTGAATTCTTTTTCCCAAGTTCGAATATTTCCAAGCGAAGAGAATACTTGATACTATTATAATTAGTAACTATATATAATTAATAGTACTAAATTAAAGATGTTAATTTGATATTTCTTACGGTAAAATCATTACCATGCACAAACTTGTGAGTTAAATAGAAGAAATTCAAGTTTCACCAAACGAAATATAGAACATTGTAATTTTGATGAAGGCCCTTATTATAAAATAAACTTCTCTTAATATTTTGTTTTCACGCCAAAATATTTTGGCATAGAGATACAATATATATTCACTTTTCAGTTTTCACCATACTATATGCGTACGAATGATCATGTACGAGTGTGGTCACACACATAAAAATAAAAAAGACAAGGCGTGATGTTAAAATGGTCCTAAGTTGACATATGTATGTATGTTCGTAAATTAAAAGCTTTTAACGATTGATATCTAAAATTTCAAATTTCACAAAAGGATGATTCGCTATAAATATTAATAATGGAAAATATGAGGTTTATGTCCACTATATATTGGTATATAAGGTTGACAAGACAACGTGCGATATAATATATGCGGTCTTTGAGATGTGGACTTCACATAAGGTATGAAGCAGAAATAAAGATCCAAAGTTTTGATCTAAGAGGCCAAACATTTATCGTACTAAAGAGAGAGCCAAATTTATGTTAATAACGATTCAGAGAAATTAAATACGTTTAGGTACTATCCATCCATTTACATGTTTAGGGCTCATCAACACCCAAATGTGGTCCATTTCTTTTTGTTCATGTGGTCCAATTTTGGTATATACTATATACTCTATATATAATACATTTTTCTTTGGACGAGTATTTCTCTATGCCATAATTTTGCTTACCAAGCACCCTTATATATATACATATATCTACATGTCTACATATTATATATATATATGATCGTATAGACTTTTTTTTTTTTTACAGCGATCGTATAGACTTATACTTTATTTTATTTTTTTACTTGAATAATATGTTTCTTTATTTTACTTATATATGTCACCAAGAATAACTTTCAATTCCTACCCAAAATTCTAGTGATGAAATCTTCTTATTAATAAATTAAATATTTTCTCAATAATTTTGCTTCTCAAGAGACGTACAATTGACAACTTTTTTTTGTTGTAGTTAAAATGCTTTCTTTAGTACATGAAGCAGCTGAGCAACTGAAACCATTAAACTAGAGAAGAAGAAGAAGGAAAACAAATCATTATAAGATATGTTGAAATAAAATAAAAAAATCTAGATTTAGGATTGTATACCACAATTTATCACAGCTTTCAAACTTTAAAAAGTACAATAATTTTCTTTATTAAAGCGTGTCATTGTTTCTGTTAAGTTTTTTTATTTTATTTATTTTGAAATAGAAACTTTATTTTTACAAGACCAACATGAAGTACAAAAGAAGTAGAAAGAAAGCCTCGGGTAGAGGAGGAAAGACAAGCCCTTCAGCCACAGTCACACAGTTCTGATAGGAACAGTAAGTGAGTAACAATAACAATAGCTAGAGAGTAATAATATATATATATATATATATATATATATATATATATATATAGTTTGTATCGGAACCACACCAAGTATTATTTTCGATTCTGTAACTCAACTGAACTTCGATGAATATTTTTGATATTCAATCTTTTTTTAGTTTTTGTGTGTTAATGTACAAAACTAGGTAATACTGGGTATCAGTTAACAATTCATTGGATCAGTTACCAAATCTTAAAATAGATATCACTTTTCAGACCAATATGGCAATATATGTTAGTGTAGTAGTGTGTGTATCGAAATCACACAGAGGGCAGACCTATAATAGTCATGGGACCCGACATGAATGTTGTTATGTTAATATCCTATCGGAACACGTACCATATTCAATAACCACTCAAAAAAGTTGAACCTTAATTCGGACGAAATTATTTGGTCATAAAATTAGAATAGCTTTAGGGTTTAGTGTTTAGTGTTTAATTAATCCTACAACACACTAGTATTAATATAGAGTTATTAATTGTCAGGGAAAAGAGAGGTAGTATTAATTATCTTAAGATATAACAGCAGTATTAATGTTCTTACATTGACTACAATATAGTACATTACCAGTAAAGCATTGAAGGATCTTTAAGAAAACCCTTACATTGAATTTTGAAAAAGCCATCTACCCAATTCCAATAGTTCTAAACAATTGATACACGTACCTTGGCTTGTTATTTAAAGGAGTAAAAGAAAATGGTAAATATATATATTAGCCTTAGGAGACTTTTCCTACATTGAGAGTATCATACGTTTGAGATTCTCTTCCCATAAATAGGCTACTCTTTTTGGTCAAAAGAGAAATTATAATTATCAACTGAATTATTATTTTCTTCTCTTCTTTTTTTCTTTTGTCAATGTCAACAATGTAATGTATGCATCGCAAGCCGATCTCTTGAATGAGCTCCGTCTATTATATGCAAGTTTTGTTGGTTCATCAGCAGCTGAATATTATTGCCTCTAGCTTATATATTTCTTTTAGTTTGCGTAGGTTTATCACTTTGATTGCAATTTGCAAACATTAAAAACTTCCGCCTGATTTTTACGTGTGTGTATATATTATATGTTAAAAAAATTCTTATGTCTAACTTTAAGTTTATCAAACATAAATATACTTTCAAAATCCTATCAATGTTTCTCCGTGTTTGCGTTTAAGGAAGTCAGAAACTCATCCTTCAATAAATTAAATGTGTTTTTTCTCCATGCAAAAATAAATTCATCTCCCCCAAATACAATTTGCATTCTGATTCTGAACCCTATATATATATATATATATATATATATGTTTTTTATTTTTTTGTAATAGTAATACTCCTTTAATACCAACATTGAGTTCTTCTTGGTCTGTGTTCTTCTCAACCTTAAAAACAAGGTTGTCCGTACGGTACGGACAAATAATGTAAGCTAAATGGAGGCACAAAACTAACGAACGAACGAACGAGTTATAAAAAAAAATAAAAGAACCAATGAGAGGTCGACAACACATCAAACAGTTTATTTCCCAAACAGCCCTTAAACTTTATCCCCCACTCTGGTCTCTTCCCACTCTATGTTTTGGCTTTTTAATTTCTTTATTTTTTTTCCTCAAATACCAATCGTCGTCTAATGTATGTATTCACGTCACAGAGCGTATTTATATACCACACCACTTACGTCACTGTGGACTCACGCGAAACCCAACAAAAAAAGTCCCACACATGAGAAAAGAAGAAAAATAAAAGAAATAAAATAAAATAAAATTAGCTATTATCACATTCAACACAAAAGATACCCAGAGAGACATAAGAAAGAAAGATAGAGAGAGAGATATATACTTTGGTCATTTCAGGGTTGTCGTTTCTCTTTCTTGTTCTTTGAGAGGAGAGGGTGTTTGAGAGATAGAAAGAGAAAGAGAGAGATGGGGAGGGGTAGGGTTCAGCTGAAGAGGATAGAGAACAAGATTAATAGGCAAGTTACTTTCTCCAAGAGAAGGTCTGGTTTGCTCAAGAAAGCTCATGAGATCTCTGTTCTCTGCGATGCTGAGGTTGCTCTCATCGTCTTCTCTTCCAAAGGCAAACTCTTCGAATATTCCACCGACTCTTGGTAATTTTTCCTTTTTCCTTTTTTCTTCTCTCTAAATTATTATAAATTATATATCACATCGATCATATCCTATCATTTTTTTCGATATTTAGCCAGATTTTGTTATTGTTATTATTATTATTTTTTTTTATTTTTTTTCATTCGTACGTCTCGATCTCGATCGTCGACAGCCTTGGAACTAAATCCAAATCTTGTATCTAGCTTGGTCTTTCATATCTACTGTAGATTTGTTTGTTCCCTAAGAAGTGGCTCGAGAAATTAGGGTTTTTTTTTTTGGGATTTTACGTACGGACGCATGAAAAAAGAAGCTGTTTATGTTTTATTTTTATTTTCTCTATCCAATTAAAAATAGCATAAAATTATGAAACTTAGTACACCGACTCACGATTTGATTGCCTCTTTTGATGTATGGAACCACGTGCACACAGACACGTACGCAGATGTATATAACATGTATACTAAATACTTATTAGTCTTAGCATATATTTGAAAGAAAGATTGATTTGAAACGGTGAAATAAAGCATTTACAAGGATGTGCTATAATCCAGTGGACAATAACATAACGTTAAACATATTTCTAAGTTCGTACTGATATAAATGCATTTTGTGTAAGTGTATACATTGTTTCTTTGTACGATCATATATATAGAGATTTTTTTATATATAATGATCAAACCATTTTGCTTTGGTAACCGAGTCAGGAGGGAAATTCGAATCTTTAAATTGAATTTGTACGTATGTTTTCTGTGATGTTTCTGGACTCACCAAAACCAGGTTTTATATACATTTTTGTGTTATATGCTTATTTTTAGCTATCCTTTGTCGGTATACTAAACGAGGTAAACTTTTGGCTGGCACTTTGCAACAATTGTTACACATTATTGTAACATGTGAAATTATAATGATTTATCAAATTATAATTAAATGTTGACTTTTTCTGAATTCTAGCATGGAAAGGATACTTGAACGCTATGATCGCTATTTATACTCAGACAAACAACTTGTTGGCCGAGAAGTTTCGCAGAGTGTAAGTTTACCCATATGTCTCTTTAGTTTAGCTGTTTATGTTCATGAGTCCTACTTAATTATGTATCTTTGTTGTAGTAACTAGTGTTTATCATCATATACCAATGTTGTAGGAAAACTGGGTTCTAGAACATGCTAAGCTCAAGGCAAGAGTTGAGGTACTTGAGAAGAACAAAAGGTATATATACATACATTAGATACCTGTATCGTACCATATAACCTTATAGTGCATAATGTCAAATATATATATATATATATTGTGTGCTTATCAAATTTAAAGTAAAAGTATATTTACAATACTTGTCCCAACTTAACAAAATTTTGGGTTTAAACATAATCTTCTGACGTATCCTACCGCTTACCGTACGTAGTCATTACTGTTAAAATATTCTAATACATAAGTAACATAACACATAACTAAATAAGAGATGCATACGCAATTTCTCATTACTTATGGTTAGTATATGGTAATTATTGGAAAATTGCGATTTGAATATTGACTCCTCCGTAAAGTTCAATTTATTTAAGGAAATTTTATCATAAATACTAGCTACGGCTTGGTATCTCAAGGTAGGGAAGGTAGCAATATTGTTGTACTTGTACAAGGTTGCATGTCCTTAGCAAAACAAGCATGCACGTACAATTTTCTTGTAAAAACAGTAGTCTCAAAAGGAAAATGTGCAGGAATTTCATGGGGGAAGATCTCGATTCGTTGAGCTTAAAGGAGCTTCAAAGCTTGGAGCATCAGCTCGATGCTGCTATCAAGAGCATTAGGTCAAGAAAGGTAAAAGAGGAACGTTGATACTTATAATCTACCTACGTAATGAAAGCTGTAGATAGAAATTTTGAGTTTTGCAATGGAACTCATCAAGTTTGAAATATATACATGTTGTTTTATTAAAACATTGGCTAATTAATCGCAGAACCAAGCAATGTTCGAATCCATATCTGCGCTTCAGAAGAAGGTAATGTCAACTTTTCGTCTGCATATATATATGAGCAACCTATTTATTGCAAAAACTATTGTTCCACAGTGTTTTTTTTCTTTCAGAAATTACTTACTTGTTTAATTTTATTAATTAGGATAAGGCTTTGCAAGATCATAACAATTCGCTTCTCAAAAAGGTTGGTACGACTCTAATTTGAATTAACTGGTAATAAATGAGTTGAAAGTTGTGAAATGAAATACTGTAATTTATAACTTCAGTATGTCATCTCACCAATTTTTTAATTAAGAAAATTATATATGTTTAACAATATTTTATTACTAGCTATACCATAATAATATGAGAATATGTGTGTATATACATATGTGTGTCTCTATTTACTACATATAGAATTTTACAAAAATTTATATCAGTATTATATAAATAAAATGTAATAGACCAATGAGTATATATATTTCTATATTAGTAGTGAATTATATAACGTAGTGTATATAGATGTACTCTAAACGAATGGGGTTAGCATTAGAAATAGTTATCATTCATTGTTCGGAGTTAATTAATAGGACGATCAGTTGTTATTTTCTATGTAGCTAACTAGCTGATTAAATTAGTTATCTATATCAATCAGATGCTTATATAACATTTGCCCGTAAAATTTAAAGTGATTAATTTTCTAATGGTAGTATAAAGAAAACTTTAAAAAGAAAATTTGACTAATAAAATATTGTATATTATATAGTAAAATCTAAAACAAAACATATATACAACTCATGCAAGTGTAGATTTAGGACTAATGTAATATTACTAACTAATGGCAAAACAATGAGTATATATAGATTAAGGAGAGGGAGAAGAAAACGGATCAGCAAGAAGGACAATTAAACCAATGCTCCAACTCTTGTTCAGTTCTTCTGCCCCAATACTGCTTAAGCTCCTCCAGGTCTCTTTCTCTGATCTATCAGTAATATCCCAAACTATAGATTTTTCCAGGTTGATTAATTGTGCAGTACTGTGCATATAATTTAAACATATATGTTTGTATGAAGTTCTGATGAATTTACTATTAAATGGACAGAGATGACTTTGTGGAGAGAGTTGAGGGAGAGAACGGCAGTGCACCGTCGTTGACAGAACCAAACTCTCTTCTTCCGGCTTGGATGTTACGCCCTACCACCACGAATGAGTAGAATTATCATATCTCTCTATCTATAATTATACATGATACTATATAATTAATGTTTAATATTTTCATAACATATATCAGCAGTTTTTTGGTGACCTTAATACTCATTATTAATACTGATATATGTTTTAATTAGCTAATCATGTTTTATATGTATGATGGAAATTCCAATGTCAAGACCTACGTACGTATTAGCTATATGATCATTAGATTCGATCGACTGCGTTTTCTTAAGATCACAAAGATTTATATCTTGGTAAATGATTTCTCATGAATGATGTAACTCTTTTTCTTTTATTGTGGTGAACGCAATTTATCAATATTCTATCATTTTGTAAATGTGCTCACTATGTTTAACGCTTTTATGAAAATCTCATATTCGAATTTCTCAATTTTACTCTTATTGTAAATGTGCCCATTATGTTGCGCTTTAAAGTTGTCGCAGTAAGGTACCGCATGGCACAAATGATTATTGTGACTTTCGAAATATTAGAAAAAGTTTGTACGAATATGATAGTTATTCAAAATTTGCTAAACAATCTAATACGGTATATATATATATAATAGTGTTTATGCATGTACAAACTACTTCTATGTATAGATTGTTAAGTGTGTAAGCCAACAAAGAACGAGATTCTATATATGCTGGTATATGTATATGCTCAAAAACTATATTAATTTTAACAAAAAGTGAATATTTGTGAAAGTCCTGAGTACGTTACAGAGTCAATTGGTCAAATAATCAAAATTGAGGATCACTGGTTGAATAGAATTATGTACCGACAAAATAAATGGTGTGATTGTGGATGGACGAAACGTTTAAATTTTTATTTTCGTGAATGCATAGCGAAAAAAAGTCTTTATCTTTCTTTTTTTCACTACAATCTTTCATCGTTTGATCAACAGATGCTATATTTAGAAAGATTTTTATAAAATTGTTCAGTGCACCTATTTAAATCATGTAATTTTCCATATAGATTTTCTTCAACTTTAAGAAACCCTAAATAAATCGAAATTAAAAATATATATATATATTTCGATGGTTGACTACTAAATGGGGTCATTAATAACATAGATTTCCCATTTTTAGTACTGAAAGATATTGATTGTTATTTCAACTTATTTTTATGTTTTGATTTTACGATTAAAAATTATACTATTATATATGTTGTTTCACCAACATGTAAAAATTTATATTTGGTGAGTCCAATAAAGAATGTTGATAAATGATAACTTGCGTTCACCAAAATTTATATAATGTTGTAGGCTATCATGTTGTATAACACATGTTCACGACTTAATTAATGTATGGAGGAGAAGACTCTGTTCTTTTTTATTTTTTGTCGCCAGAGAAGACTCTGTTCACTCTTCCAAAATCTGGTTTGTTGACTGTTTGACTCAGTGAAAGAACAAAAAGTCTAGACTCGTCTTCTTAACGTTTCTTAGACGTTTAGTTATAACGAACAATTCAACATTAAACCTTCTATATATAGTTATATACACACTCACGGACACAAATTTAACCGGTACGTAGATGTTTGGTCAAGCAAAATGCGGTTTATCTCTTGTTTGATACTACAACTTGTTCTTGTCCTGCAACTAAAAACACTTGTTGGATTGTCTCAGAACATCATAAACGGCTCTGTTCCTTTCGGAGGATCTCTCACCTGCTTCCGTGTCCCAACAACTCTCCAGTTCATGGCGTTCCCTTTCCGGTGACTTCGCTTTCGGGTTACGCAAGATCCAACCAAAGGATGGTTTCATTCTCTCCATATGGTTTCATTCTTTCTTGTTAAATAATCCATCTTATTCTTCTTCTGCAAGCACAAACACTAGCTAATCCCACCGACACTTTGTTACCTACTCAGGTAAGTCTTTATTGCATACCATCGCAAGATATACTAGTAAGATCTCACAGACCTCCATTGTGACCTCAATTATTGTTTAACTGGTGTGACTGATTAAAGTTTGTGTTTAATATTACAGATATATCTAATGAAAATATGAAAACGCAAACGTAATAAAAGAATTTTCCTAATAGTTTTAGCGACAAAAGAATTTTTCTTTTTTTTTCCTAATATTTTTTTATCTCGCAGAACAGAGAAAAGGAAGATTCAGGCTATGTTTAGGCGATGACGGAGATCTGCAGCTGCTTACACTCAACAGCGAGACACTTGCAGAAACAGATGTTTACTTTTCGTACTACTCAAGTAACACCAAAGATCCTCAGAATCCTGGTTATTTAATTATTGGTTTTCAACGAATCAGGGTACTTGTATATATAGTAATATTGAGATGACAAAAAAAAACAAAGGCCGAGATGTGAATGTAAACCGGATTTTAAGATGCAAACATGTGGACCAGAGAATAACCAAACCGCAACCTCAAACGCGGATGTAAATACCTACACAAGAGGTACTTAAACTATGATGAAGAAAGATGTAAAGATGGCTGCAGTCTCAAGGAACTGTTTTTTGTGGAGCAGTGGTGCGCTCGGAAGAGATCGGTTATGTTGGAAGAAGAAGTTTCCATTGTCTTACGGCATAAGAGATCCGAATGGTGACATCGATACATTCATCAAGGATTTAAAACATGTTCCAGTTGGTGGCAAATCTACACCAATATCCGACTGCTCTTAAATTTCAGGATACTGAATTCGTGTTCTACTCTAGAGTTGTGTTTTCAACTAATCACATACCACAATCACGACTAAGTAAGGTCAAGTCTTCTTTCCCATATATAAATTGGATTTCCAAATCACGAATTCGTGTTTAATGGTTTTATGTGATTATTTATTAAAAAACAAAAAACATGTACAGAATTATATATTTCCAAAATTTTGTTACTCTGCACCATCAGTCATCATCGATATATATGCGATATCTCCAAATGGCAAATTCTACCCAAATTCTTCTAGAAACTCCCAATGACACAGATCAGGCTTCTATATAAGTTTAATATATAACCAGCACGTTCTAATTAAATTACTATACTCAAGGACATTTTAATTTAACTTAACTGATTAAACCAATACTGTTCGAAGAATCCACTCACGGACTTTTCTAATTTTTTTAAAAATAAAAAATCCAGCAAAATCTAACGTTAGTCCAATTTTTTTTTTTTTTTTTTTTTTTTGATAAAGACGTTAGTCGTCCAATGAAACCATACATGTACGACAGTTATAAACTATAATTTTAAAATATTGAACACGTTCTATTCATGGGCTGTAACTATTTAGTTGGCAAATAAGTCATATTTATAACATTTCATTGTATTTCTTAAAAGCTAATGTTTAAAGGGTTTCACTTTTCACACTCAAATTCAAACACATTATTAATTTGTTTCACTAAAAAGTTATTGTTTTCATTATAAACCAATAACAGTTTAGTTATTCTCAATGATTACTTCTGGAAGTTTACAATTTCTTAATATTATTAATCAAAAGTGTACAGAAAATTAAACGTAATGGAACAAAAGAAATCCCAGAGGTTTTTTTTTTTTAGGAACAGAGGTAATATAATGTATACTCTTTTTCTTCCCAGTTAATCTATTTTTAGATTTTTTTACACATATTAAGTAACCATTTATAAGTTGATTCAAATGCATAACTTTTTGTGATTTACAGTGTTCTGTAACCTTAAACCAAAAGTATTTAGTTTTTTTTCCTTGAAATTTTTAATTCTTAATTAATAATTAATAACGTATATCTATAGTTTAAAAATTAGATATATATTTTGAAACAATGTTTTCCCTAAAAATAATTAATAGGAAACAGAGGGAGTAATCTCTATACTAATAATGAAGCTAATAATGAAGCTAATAAGAAATTGAAGTAATTGGGTACGTAGAATTTGAAAAAGCAATATACATATATAGTGTACACTGTACAGGAGCTATTTTTTAGTTAAAGGGAATTATTTCATTTTAAATAAAAATATTACCATCGTGTTAGTATGCGAAGGTGTAAAGATGGTTATATAATTTTTTAAAGAAAAAATTGATTTATATCTACCTTTGCTTTTTGTTATAACCATCTTTAATTACCAACTGGAGTATAAATTTTATGTAAACTAGAGGAAACTTCAATAATAACTAAAAAAGCATGGCAGTCCGTAGTTGTCAAATGAGAGACTATTGGTTAGCATTAGTGAATATCATATTTCAACCATATGGCTTTAGAATAGTATAAACTTCCGAAAAACGAATGGAGGAGTTTGGTCGGAGTGGATGCTAAAAGCTTCATAAAACAAGAGGTTCATTAGAAATCTATTTGCGTGCATATACACAATGCTTTATGCATGCATCCCAAAATATCTTCATTTATCACTAAAGAGAGAATCAAGACAGAGATTAATGGATGATATAAGCTTCACAATTCAATTAAGAACCCATAATTTTAGCTAAATATCAAATTGTTGTACAAATTAAAAAAAAAAAAACTTTGTTATCAAATATCAATTGTGCATACAAGTTTCTGTAGTTATCTTATATAAAATTAGGTGAAGGTGCTGTTATAAAAAATAGGTAGAATGTGCATGTAAAAAATATTGAAGAATTCTATACAAAATAGACAAATTAATAATCCTACTTGCATAACCTAAAGATAAGTTATAAATGCTACTTAAAAAACAAAATAAAAAAGGTAAAAAGTTAAACTTGTGCCGGAATTAAAAGTTAAATGCTACTTGCATTGCATGGGCATAAATAGTCTCGCAGGAGTGCAACTTGTGCCGAAGTATAACTGTAAAATACTAGTAAAGATAAACGCACTCACGTGAATTCACATTGTTATATCTTTGTCACATGTATACTAGTAGTACTATTATATAAGAAATTAGGGATTCACTTTTTAGGGAACAACAGAATTATGCTTTTTCCAACACTTGAATTATGGATATGAATAAGAATGGCCCAAACCATTTTACCAATATAGTTTATTCTTTCTGATAAAATGCGAATTATATCACCAAAAAGGAATAGCTCGGCGAAGCTAAAAAAGTTGGTCATAATTTAACTCATATGAAAAGGGTAATGATGGAAGTGTGCCTGAGTTTAAAAAAAAAAAATCTCAATCTGGAGATGATGTAGTAAGTTACGCTTACGTAGGTGTACCAGCTTGGTCGTAATTTACTAGTTGATCTCTCAATTCGAGTCCGTTTATATTATAAGGTCAAAATGCTATATATCTATACTATATGTCAATATATACTAAAATATTGCATGGTTGAAAATCATGATTATCCCAAAATTCGCTTCGTTTCTTTCTTTCTCTTTTTGGTAAAGGCAATTCGTTTCTTTTTTCATGTTTTAAATCCCGTAGTTGTTATTAACAAACAGCTTCATACGTGTAAATTAATTATTAATTAAGCAAAAGAATTCATTCCTAATCCATTATAATACTACAAACTAGATCATACAATTTGGTCCACGTGACGATAAACAGATCTATCACTAGATCTTTTTTTTTTTTCTTATTCACTAGATCTTTATTAAAGAAAGAAAAGAAAAAAAAAAAACAAATTGACGGCAAGAATTTGAAAAAAAAAAAAAAAAAAAAAACAAACTTGCATGCATGAGATTGATTCTAGTCTGATTGATTCGTCAGACAAAAGACAAGTACAAATATTGTGTTCTTATTCGTTCCAACAACCAATAATGAACTCCATTTCATCAGCTGCATTGACCTCATCAGACGAATTTTCAACAACTTCGGCGCCTGAACCGCTTAAAATTCCCTTTAACTCCTCCATAAACTCGATATTATCGATTGTCGTATACATGAAATCATCGGAGATCTTTTCGTTGCTTAAGAACTCGTTGAAACAGTTGTCGGAGATCTCTTCGTTGCTTAAGAACTCGTTGAAACAGTTGTCGGAGATGTCGGACAATGTACTACTGTTGATATAAACCGACGTTTCCGCCACTTTGTTTAGCAATGTTGAGTCCCTAGGATCGATCTTGCCGGAGGGGTTTTGTGAATCCCCGAAGACGGTGCGGTTTCCACTGATGAGTCCGGTTAGTAGATCCCGGTTAAACTCCGCTGCGTATTTGCTTGCGACGCGGTTTAGAAGCCTTGCGGAACCGGATGAACGTACCGGTTTATTGTTGTTTATTGGTTCGATAGCGTTTTGACCGGTTGAAGAATTGATCGATTTGTGAGTGATGGGAATGGGATCGAGGCCTTTCTTTTGTTTTATACGCTTCTTGAGATTTGTGTTCCAATAGTTTTTTATTTCGTTGTCAGTTCGTCCCGCCAAACTAGCCGCTATTGCAGCCCACCTTCAACGTAACAGTCAAACACCACATATAAGTACTACTATCTCTTATTTACCATTCGTTATCAATGTGGGAATCCAAATTCGTTTAAATAAAAATAAAATCAGTAACCTTTCTTCATGCAACATTACACATGTAGACATAATTAAAGTAATGATTACCTAATCCAAAATAAATAAAATAAAAAACAAAGATGAAAACTAAAGAAAATAAAAAGCTGCGCTTCTTTCTTACTTGTTACCCTTAAGAGCATGAAGCTTGATGATGGTATCGTCTTCTTCGGGACTAAACTCTCCTCTCTTAATGTCGGGTCTTAAGTAATTCGCCCATCTCAATCTACAACTCTTTCCGCATCTCTTCAGTCCTATATATATACATTGTACACACATTACAATACTATATATAAATTAATAGCTAATAATTGGAACATTTGATACTAAAAAAATAAAAATAAAATAAATACCAGCTTTTTCAGGGAGAGTACGCCATCCACCTTCACCGTGGAGTTGAAGATAAGCAATAAGCTTTTGATCTTCCTCAGGAGTCCAAGCCCCTTTCTTTATTCCTTCTTCTTTGCAACATGGTGTCCTCACCATCTTTCTAGTTCTCTTCTTCTTGATTCTTGATTCTTGATTCTTGATTCTTGATTCTTGATTTTAGTTTAGTTTAATTAATACTACCGTCAAATAATCCTAGGTGGAGCTAACAAATTATCATAATTAGAACTCCATGTTTTCAAAAGAAAGACTCGTTATTAGAGCATCTTTAAAGTGAAATTAGCAAGGAAAAGAGAGAGGAAAAGAAAAAGAAAAAAAGACAAGGCTTAAGAGAACTGAATAGAGCGTCTGATCAAAACCAGAAGACACTTGAAGATTGTACTCACTGAAACACTCTTTTGACGAGGAACACGTGAATGCGATACCATTATATATCCAGTTTGAAATCAAGGAACGGTCGATGTTTTCTTTTCTAGTTCTGTCTCACACAGTTTACAGAGGTGCTCTTATATAGTAAAATTACGAGAGCGAGAGAGAGAGAGGGAGATATTGGTATATGATTAAAAATTGATTGCTGTCAAAAGTAACGTATTTAAAAAAAAAAATTACGAAGGGATATATGGTAGAGATTACTCGTTCTCTAATTTATTCCTAATGACACATGTAATATTTTCCTTGGAAGAGTCAAGCATCTGTCAGAATTCGCGGTCACACGGAAATGTAGACTGATGAGTGATGACACTGTTCTGATACTCTTTGTTCGTTTTAGTTTGTTTCTTGTGAAATCAAGGAACATTGAGATGGGTTAGATACGGTGGTCAAGAAAAGTGTTCATCCTAGAACAATAATTGATTCATTCAATCAATATAACTAAAAGGCAACTATCATTAAAATATTGCTATTTGTCTTCTTTCAACATACTGCATATTGGTTTTTGGTACCACTCAAGGTTCATCTATTGAGTCTATATATATGACTATGATATTACATATTAAAATTTATCATTTATATTTTATAGCATATATGTATCTAAATTAAAGGATTTGATTTTGAGGAGCACAGCCTTTTTCATAAGTGTGTCCTTGATAACTCTCATAACTTAATGTACATGTATGTCTCTAAAGTGTACAAAAGCATTATATATTGGATTTGCGTTTTTCGTTTTTTTTAAGTTATCACGCACATATGTAAACGATGAGGACCTGACGCGACGTTGTTGGACGTTTCTGACTCCCGATGCAACAAGATGTGTCAACCCATTGCGAGGCACATGAATCTAATATTCAGCTGTAATGAATATATATACCATTTTCTTATGTCTAAATATATTTTTGACACATATTCTATTGTTTTATGACGAAAACCTATTATTTCTCAATACTATATATATATATAAAATTTCAAATCCATTTCCATCGTGATTTTTCATGAAAACTATTATCATTTTTGTGGTTGTTGTTAACATATTACCCATTTTACCGCGCCAGAAAATGATATCGTTCTTGGTGGTAGTTAACACCCTTAAATTGATCCGTAATCTGATACTGAATCTAATTTATCGAAATATAGTTAGCAAAAAAAAAAAATTTATCGAAATATATCTGACTATGATAACATACTTCCTTCATTGTTGACATAGACTGCTGTCTCTAATCTTACTAAACACGTCTCTAGACTCTAATATCAGTCTATCAGAAGAAATACGCAACCAAACTGGCGGATAACAAATCAAAATCTCGTATGTATACATAAAACATATCTAGTGATAAAATACGACGAACGCACCTTCCAAAAGAAATGTATATGTAAAAGGGCATCATTATTCATTATTTCATTACATCAACATAAATTACATAATGCTCAAAACTTACGTTCAAGTGGCATACTACAAAAAGTACTAATTACAAGAAGATGATAATTAAGTGGACACACTTCATATATCAATATCAGGATCTGTATATAAGGTAATTCTTTTAAAACTACGTACAAGTTTGAGCACTTAGCTTTGAAGCGTATATCAATTAATCATTCCTCTTTGATCAATTTCCGGACATTCCGACGACGAAACAGAAGTGTGTGGTGTAACCTTTAAATTCATTACCTAAAATTTGTGTACGAACAACAACTTAAGAAATAGGAACCTTAAAATTCTCAGCTGAGGGGGGACGGCGTAAGTGAGCGAATAGGCCGGTGTAAAATTCTACTCAGGGGGCCAATGATTTTTAACACATGACATTCGAAAACAATGTCTTTATCGTATAGGCCACAGCAGATTCTAGTCTTATAAAAGATATACATGAAATGTTTCCCTTTAATTCTTATGTCTGTCATCCGATATGATAAACTTTAGTATTCCAGTGACTATATATGTTTGCGACACTCCAAAAGAAAAGAAAAAAAATAATAACGAGAGTGGTGGTAGTTAAATGATTTGGCAGCTAGCGTGTGAAATGGTATGATGATCGATTCGAAAGATTTATAAACAGTACACCAGACTTTTTATCAAGTGCGCAATTTATTAACGTATGTTAATACTTTATCAAACAAATCCTTCAATTTTATTTGGTTATGAGCCATATGTGCTTTACAGAATTATAGTGGACTGTGGTCTGTGGACCATTCTAACTTGCGTACCCCCTAACCTCGTGTATTTCATGTTATTGAATATGTGCAACAAAGTATTAAGCATATAATATTTGCTAGTACGAAAATATGAGCACACAAACAATTTAAAAGTTGACAACGTGTCTAAATCTTCAAAAGCTTTCAATTCAAATTCTTTAAATAATCTTTACACACTAAGCTTTGTTTAAATGAATTTTTACTCGACATTAAAACACCTTTTAATTACTTCAACACTAATTCCGAATGAACTAGAGATATTTAGATGAACGCTTAATCTAAGATTCACTTTTTCTTTCTTTTCAAGAGCATGAATTGACCTAGTTTTAACTCGGATGATAATTCTTTGTTTGATGATACTTCCAAACCTATACCCCCTATATATATCAAGCAAACTCCACGCTCCATTTCAATTTATTCATTTCTTGAATATCCTCATATATATCAAGAAGTTTTCTCGATATTGAACATAAACAAATACATCGTCGTAAGTTTGTACTTTCAAACATAAGTACTTCATGTTATTGAGCATAAACAAATACATCGTCGTAAGTTTTAACAATGACAAAACTTTGTAATCAGCATCGTGCAACGTATAGGTGAAAATATTTAATATTAGATACCTCAATTTAGGTGACGCAAACAAGAAGGGTGAAGTTTTTATCTTTTCTTAAGATAAACATTCTGCAGCAACCCTTCGCGGCAGTGGAGACTCTCATCCGTATCGCGCCTTCCGAACGACGATATATCTCACCTGAAAAATAATCAGATATACATCTAAGACCAGCAGCATCGGCAGTCTCTGCATTTGGGTCTCTCAAACTAAGTGTGAACATAACTTAATAATATTTAATTAAAAAATAATTTAACAGACCAATCATAAAATGACAGACACGAGAACCGTCTCTTGTATTTTTGTTAAAATCTCTCAAACGAGAGACGTCTCTCTCCTCTTTCTTCTCTTTTCAATTTTTTCTCTTTTTTAAAATGGCAAGAGTTTGGGTGAGAGACTACCGATGCTGCTGCTCTAATGGACTTAGTAGTATTCTATAAATCAGATAATGGGCTACATATATAGGCCCATGTGTCCATATTAAATGGCATCTATGTCATTTGTCTACTCTAGCCCGTAGCCACCATTTTAAATGGTTATGCCGTCTTCTTGACATATCTGCAAAAAAAAAAAAAAAAAAAAAAAACAGAATTAATAAAAATTGAACAGCTGAAAAATATAGAAATTGAATTTTCTTATAGCAGTGTTTCTTAACTATGATAGCATTTACTGCCCAATTATTACAATACCAAAATAAATATTACAATAAATATTAAATGCATTCATGTGTTGCACATTGTAACCCCCCTTTCCCTAATTCATGGCAATCTATTGTCTTGTCTTTAAAATCTTTTTGTTATTATTTTTATTTTTTTTCAAATTTCAAAATCATTCTTCTCATCTTCTCCCTCATCGTAATAAATTCTCCCCTTGTCAAAACTTATTCTTAAAAAAGCCTCAAAAACACACACACAAATATACTATTTCTCGTGAAAACACAAAATATCATAACAGCTATGGCTTCATCACAGTGGACAATACCAAAACTTGTCACTTGGAGAGTCAAAGATTGGGCTTCCTGTTTCTTGGCTTGCAAGATTCCTCTAGGTGATCTTTCTTCTCTTATTCTGCTCTCTTTGTTTCTAATTTCATTATTTTCTTTTAAGCTATTGTTTTTCTAAAAAGTTAGTATATTTCTATCAGACGTAGATGAAGATGGAGTTAATAATAACGGAAACAGTAGTACGAGCAACAACAATAGTCTAACGTTCAAGAGGATAAAGAGGAAGATGAAGAGTACTAAGAAGAAGAGATCAGAGAGGAAACTCAGTCTAAGCCCACCTGGGACACGTCATCATCATCTTCATCTTAGAAGCAGCAGCAGCGTTTCTCCCACGACGTCGGCGTCTCAGCACCGGCGGTTGAGCTGGCCGCAGCAACCTGTTTCTGACGAATCTGGTTTCATTGTGTTCTGTTTCGACCGCGAAGATGGAGGTTTCGATGTGGTTAAAGAGGGTAAACAAGACAAGAAAGATAACGAATTGTCCCCGGGAAAGTCACCGAGGACTGTCAATCGTAAGGTTCGTTCTTGTCAGAAAAAATCGAAATTAAACTTTGCGCTAAAGTTGTGAAACATAGCCTCCAAATCCCAAGAAACAAACCACTAGGCTATTAATTAATTAGTCTCAACTATTGATTTGTTTTTGTTAAGAACAGCTTATTTATGGAGATCAAGGAGTAGGAGGAGGAACAGATAAGAATAAGTCGCCGGAGATTAAAGGCGCAGAACAAGAGCAGAACAATAACACTTCAAGTCAAGAATCTGAAGATATTACAGAAGTAATGTTTTCCTTAATATGTTTCAGTTTCAAGAGTAATATACCATTTCCATGTATTAATGATTTCTTTGTTTTGTGCTGTTTCAGAAAACTGAAGAAGAAGAAGATATCGATGCCTCTGATAAATCGAGCGGGTCTAATAACTCAGACGAAGGAAGGGGTTCTTTTGCGTTTCCCATGTGAGTTTTCAAATCACAAGAAAACCGTACTTTTTAATACATTTTTTTTTTGTTTATATTTCGGTTGGAGAAGATTAATTGAATTGTTTGGCATTGATGAAATTGGATGCAGATTAGGATTAGAGTGGATGGGAAGCCCTGTTAAGATGCCTGAATCAGATGACTTGTCTCCCAAGAAACCAAAACCAGTTGCTTTAGGCTTTCAATGCTGTAGATTCTGAAATATTTTATAAGAGACAATTCTAAAAAGTTTCTGCGATTCTTTGTTATACTCTGTTTCTGAGTACCACCAAAAAAAAAAACACTCCGAAAAGAAAACAAATACAGATAATTTTCGATCTTTTATAAGACAAGAAGTGAAAAGATTAAATCATACTATTATCATATGGTATGTCTTGAATGTTACACATTACATATTCTGATCTTTTATGGTACACTCGTTCATTGGTCAAGAACTCAGTTACTTTTGTCTAACAATAAGATTTCGAGCTTTCCGTGAGAAGCTTTCGACTCTCAATTCTCAACCTTATGAATTTCTTGGTAACTATTTGGCTAAATTATTTTAAAAAGTTACACATTTATTGGCACTAAAACTGGCATAACTGTAACAAACACAATAACTCATCAAATTACTCTACATTTACTGTATTACCTATTTTTTTAGAACATAGTGAATACTGAAAGAAAATATTATTTTTTTCAAATTTTCAATCATATATTTACAATCTGTTGTCAAAAACAATTTTTTTTAACATAATTTATCATAACTAACGAATCTAAATTATAAGGTCTTATTGACAAAAAGAACAATGATTAAGGTCCTCATCAGGAGCAATTATTATATTTTACCACGATACGCCACTAAACGCCGTCGTTTCAATAAGCCTCACATAGTCATATTTTAAAACCCACCGGTAGAGATGAAACTCCGATAAAACAATGGCACCGTTAAGCCACCGCTTACGTAGCTTCACGCGCCGCTTCTCTTCCACCCGTACCACTCAAAGAAGCGGCGGAGGAACCACCAGCAAAGTACCAACACTCTACACAAGCCCAGAGATCGATTCTAGTCCCGTCACTCTCCAGCTCCTCTCATGGGGACGAGGCGCTTCAGGTCAGCTCGGCGGTGGAATCGAAGAGATCCGAATGTATCCGTCTCCCGTCGCTAATCTCGTCCTTCGCTCTGATCAGTCCTTCTCTCTCGCCCAAGCTCCTGGAAGAATCGACGCTGATTCTTCATCGAGTTTTCGGGTTGGAATCTCTTGCGGATTGTTCCACTCGGGTTTAACCATAGACGGAGATCTATGGATTTGGGGAAAAGGTGACGGAGGTAGGCTAGGTTTTGGCCAAGAGAACTCGGTGTTCGTCCCCAATTTAAACCCGCTTTTCGAAGAACGTTCCATTCGATCTATCGCTCTTGGTGGTTTGCATTCAGTGGCTTTAACACATCAAGGAGATGTATTCACTTGGTAAGCTTCAGCTTCAATAATTGAGTTTTGAATCATACTGTTTGTGCAAGTTGATGTTAAGCCAAATAGCCAATATCAATACATCAAGCTAGATTTGCATTTGTGTTTGATCTTTTGCTTCTGCATAATGTGATTGGTTCCATATATTAAAAATGAAGTTGTTAGGGGTTATGGTGGCTTTGGTGCACTTGGACATAAAGTTTACACTAGAGAACTCGTGCCTCGACGTGTTGATGGCTCTTGGGACTGCAAAATCTCTGCCATTGCAACCAGTGGAACTCATACTGCTGCTATTACCGAATCAGGTTTCTACATGCTTTCTCTTCTTGCTACATTTCTGCAGTGCTAGCTTAATTGAGAAGTTTTCGAACAAGCCGAATACTGTCAGGCAGGACCAAATATCAATAACTTGCTAAATAGAAGAGTAGTAGGTTCACATAGCGTTGTTATCCTTTTTGGTTTTAACTGTTTGATATATTCTTAATCGAGCAAGACTTGTTCTTGGTTTTAGGAGAGCTATATATGTGGGGAAGAGAAGAAGGAGACGGTAGACTAGGACTCGGGCCAGGCCGAGGACCAAACGAAGGTGGTGGGCTCAGTGTTCCGTCAAAGGTCAAAGCTTTAACTGTTCCTGTTGACTCTGTCTCTTGTGGTGGTTTCTTCACAATGGCGCTTACCCAAGAGGGACAACTCTGGAACTGGGGAGGTAACAACCAATTTAATACATTAGTTTCGACCATCGATAGTGTAAAAATCATGATATACTGCAATGTCGCAACAATTATGTTTTCTTGCATAGATGATTATTTTACAATTCATTGGATCTTCCTGTATCAGCAAATTCCAATAATGAGCTCGGACGCGGGGATAACTTGGGAGGGTGGGAACCAATGCCGGTTCCCAGTTTAGAAGGCGTTCGTATCACCCAGGTTGCGTGCGGTGGATATCACTCTCTTGCCTTAACCGGTAAACAATCTTCTACAAACCGAGCAATATCTCTGGTTGGTTTTTACAAGGTTGACTTGAAATTGCTTGGTGTGACAACAGAGGACGGTAAAGTACTTTCGTGGGGCCATGGTGGACACGGCCAATTGGGTAATTCCTCGCTTCGAAACCAGAGAACACCTACAGAAATTGAAGCGTTATCAGACAAAAAGATCGTCTTCATTGCTTGTGGAGGTTCCTCTTCTGCAGCGATAACAGGTACGTAAAGTAGTTATGTTCATTTGACATGATAAATAGCTCAAAAACTATAAACATGGGATTGGTTCTTGACAGATGGAGGCGAACTCTGGATGTGGGGAAACGCTAAAGATTTCCAACTAGGAGTTCCAGGTCTCCCGGAGATCCAATCTATTCCGGTCGAAGTTAATTTCTTAACTGAAGAAGATGAGGGACAACCACACAAGGTTATCTCAGTTTCCATTGGTGCCTCACATGCTATGTGTTTGGTCTCTAGATCACATTAATAAAACTTTTGATAGACGGTAGAAACACAGTACATTGAGTCATTGAGGATCAATTCAAATGTTGTTTGTGATATACATTTGAAATGGAAAGGCAGTGGAATTCAATATACTTTTAGGTGTAAGATTATACAAATAAATCAACAAGATCTTCATATATAACAACAAGAATAAACAAACAAGATCGAATAGACCGATTTCTGACTGTAGTGTAGGCGCACCATCAATTGGAGCAGCAACCAACCTTCTTAACCGCAGAGACATCGTCTTTGGACCCAACATTGATGGTCTGTCCTTTGGGAAGAGCAGCAGGGTCATCTCCTATATCCAACGCTTTCCGGCTAACGACACGGTAAATCTGTGAAAGCACTTCGGTGAAAGCATTCTCGACGTTCATCGATTCGAGAGCGGATGTCTCCATGAAGAAAGTGTTCTCCCTCTCCGCAAAAGCCTTAGCGTCTTCGGTAGAAACAGCTCGTAGGTGACGAAGATCCGCTTTGTTCCCGACGAACATGATCACAATGTTAGAATCTGTGTGATCTCGAAGCTCTTTCAACCATCTTTCAACGTTCTCAAAGGTCACATGTCTTGTAACATCATACACAAGCAACGCTCCAACAGCTCCTCTGTAATACGCACTCGTGATTGCTCGATATCTTCAAAATCATCAAAAACGAAACCAACGAAATCTTATGAGACGAATGCTCCAATCTCAAAATTGAAATCGATCCCATAGATCATGAAGCGTAATGTATCGATTTGCAATGAATAAATACCTTTCTTGGCCGGCGGTATCCCAAATCTGGGCTTTGACGATCTTATCATCGACATGGATGCTACGGGTGGCGAATTCGACCCCGATCGTGGATTTAGACTCGAGACTGAACTCATTGCGCGTGAATCGAGAAAGGAGGTTGGATTTTCCGACACCGGAGTCTCCAATTAAGACAACCTTGAATAGGTAATCGTAGTCGTCGTCGGCTCTATATGCCGCCATAGTGAGATTATCAGATCAAAGAGGCTATCTTTCGAAAATATATATGGATCTGAGATTTTCTGGTAATTAAGCGCGTATCGACCAACGGGGTAAGAAGAAGAACAATAAAAGAAGACTTTCAAAATTTTCAGGGAGAGACAAAAATGTGAAAAGAATAAATCGCGGTGATATGGATCCGACTTGGGTCCGGGTCGTTACCCAGGCCTGTATTAAGCCCACTTCTATTTTTGTTAAAAGACGTCCACTATGTTTAAAAAAATTAAAAAACTAAAAACACACACAAATGTCTATTTCACATTGACATATGTTGGTTGAGGTTTTACTTACACGCTTGTTTTATGTTTATTGAGTGTTCTTTAATTTCAAAAATGAGTGGCCTTCATTTTTTTTTTAATTACAAAAATAGATAAAACCAAATAGTCTGGTTATGAATATAAAAAAAAAGCAAAAAAAAATCAAAATGTTTATAGAAATTTTATTAATTTGTAGACACAATAATTACATAGAACTCTTAATTATTACTTATTTTTTAAAAGATTTTTTATGAAGAAGAATCTTTAGATTATTAAAATCGTAAAGTGTAATCATAACCTTAATAGATTTTTTTTTAAAGCAAAGAAATAAAAAGTGTTCCGAGTGATTAGACTATGTTACATACAATCAGTACGAATGTGAAATCTGGTTAGGACGAGGGGTCGTCAAACCATGCCTATGATTCAAAGACTAGAAAGAATGGACCAGATTTGAAGTCTTTCAATAAAACTCCAGCTGTTTCAGTTGTAATCCCAGCTCAGAAATAAACCTACTTGTATATCTTAATTGTTTGAGCTAATCAGTTATAATGTTACCTTGATAATGCACCTTTGAAGATAATAGATTTAACTTTTCAAAAGTTAAATCTATTGAGTGACTTAGATAAGGATATGTGCATGTGAATGTTCTAATTGTGCATGTGAGATAATCTAAGATCTTTCCACAATTCTCGACCATGTCGACAACCCGTTAATACGTTTTTTGGTCTTAAAAATAGTCTGAAAGTGTTTTTTTTTTTTTTTTTTTTTTTGTCGACAGTCTGAAAGTGTGTATTCCTCTCCAATTCGATCTACTAAAACGTTCAGCCTGAAGATATAAGCAGGCAGTGAGCCAGTGACAAGCAGACAGTATTGTGAGTAAGTAATAACCCATCCACCAAGACTTTGTGGTTTGTGTAAAGTGTAACCATCAGATACATAGGAGTGGACTTATAGAATAGCCGTGAATGTTCTCTAATTTGTCGTAACGATGCGAGTCCATGGACGAAAAAAAAAGACAGAAAAATACGAGTAGAAATCATGAAACAATCAAAGGAAAAGAAGAATGACAAGGGAACATGGAGGAGTCATACACCAACCCACAGACAATCCCAAACTCTCCCAACCGCCCAACCAAACTTTCCCGTGTGTGATTTGTATGGAGATTTTACAACTTATGCACATGTCCTAATGGACCTACTCCGCCTCTCAAGTGTTTCCCTACAATGACCACCACCTACCTAATATTGGACCCCTCAACATCATCACCATTGGTTCGAGAGAGGGGTGTGTGTCTCTCACCCAATCCAAATCCAAATCCAACGGCCCACAATCAGATGAATCCGTACTCATCAAGTCTTATCTCTCTCTCTCTCTCGGGCTTCTTAGATCTTTGTTGAAGTCGTCTACGAGCGCTTAGTGGTTAAGTAGAAAACGACGAACCGACCCTTCGATATATAAGTACGTACGTCAGCCATCGGACGTTACGACTACGACACGTGAAGTGGGATCCAGTTCAAAGCCACGTGGATTACATGAGACTCGTCACTAACACATGGGGTCCTAATCCTATGCGCAATTTCGCTCGCTAGCTCGTCCGTTGCTTTTGCACTGTTTTTACGCGACGGCACGGCTCTCTCGTTTCTTTCTTCCGTACAATTCCCCTCGAAAATGCCTTTTCTAACTCTCCATCTTTATAGTATATATATATTTCTTTCTATCAAGTATCAACAACAAACCTACGATTGATTACTCTTTCGAGTTAATCATTGTTTATGTAGTAACAGAAATAAGTTTATACTATAATAGTAGTTAGTTTTCTATTGCCTAGTGGAAGCTATATATATATATATATAGTTGTTTATTCGATTATAAAATTCCAGGATAAGATAATATAAGGATTTTGCATATTGTTTATTTAAGTGCTACCTATATTATTACACGGCTTAATTAGACGGAAACGTAGCTACACTGAACCTGTTCACTGTCTTAACAACTAGTGACTAGTGAGTCATACTAAGAGAAACTCATAAACAAACCCACTAGAAAACACATAATCAAAGATGCAGAATCGACGGTTTTGTATGCCCAATCAAATATATAAATTTATTAGATACATCAAATGAAACACAAAGCAAAATAGAAAAAAAAAAAAAACCCCAGAAAAATTAAAACCTTATCAAATATACAACGATAAGTAAAAACAGCCAGTTCCAAAACTGAACCGAAGCCATAATAAAACCATGCTATATAAATTTGCACTCTTGGAAGTTGGAAATATTCCAAAAACTAACCGAAAAAAAACAAAATAGAGAGATAAATTTTATATTTGGGAAAAAAAATTTACATTCAGTCATATAATTATATAATAAATCCCGTTTAAAACCCATAATGATAAAATAAAATAAAATAAAAAAACCACTTCATCGAACTTTACCTTATGTGTATAGAATATATATTTTTGGGTTAAGAAGAAGAAGAAGAAGCTATGAGAGAATCAAATCAATCAAGGAAGGTAGAGACCATTCTGATCTTGGTCAGACGACGTCCATTGACTTTGACTCCAGTATGCATGATCAACGGTGCTGGTTAGATCAAACAGTGTTTGATCTCCTCCGCCACTTCCCCAATCCAACGGTTCAAACCCCATATTTGGATCCGACGATCTTCCTTGAAACTCAACCTGAGCCGTCCGATCTCCAAACTGTTGCTGCTGTACAGTTTCACTTTCCAACTTCAGATGATCATCTTGGTTTACGAACTTCCCCCCGAATCCAAACGGAGTCGTTTCAATCGTCGACGCCGCAGTGAAACCTCCGATCTCCGAGAAAACTCCACCGTCCGATGAGCCTTGTCCGAGCAACGTCGACCACTCGATCCCGTTACCATACAGTTTAAGATTAGACATATCGAAACCGGGAACAACCGACGAAGCAACCTCCGCCGCGGCGGTAACGGATACGGCAGCGACGGTGGTAGAGTTAGAAGCGGTGAGAGAAGAGCTCTCGCTGCTAGAGTGAGATCCGGTACTCGACTTCTCCTCTACGTTATGTTCTAGCGTCGTCGTTGATAATTTGTCGGCAGAGGACGAAGGCTGCTTTGTTTTCGATCGTTTAGCTTTCCGGCAACCACCGCCGACAGGGACGTTACGTAGAACACCGCCTTTAGTCCAGTAACGGCGACAGTTCTTGCAAAAGTGCCGAGGCTGAGAAAGATTGTAATTGTTATAGTAACAGAACTTGGTGTTAAGAGAGTTACAACGAGGACACTTGAGAGATTGGTGATGGTTAAGTATATTGTTCTGATGAGCTCTCATCCTCCGATCTCCACCTCCTCCGCCGCCGATTCCTCCGCCGAAAAACCTCCCTCCTCCTCCACCACCGCCACCCCCGGCCATAGAGTACTCATGATGAATATCTTGCATTTCGTAGAGAGAAAGAATATACAATTCTCAAGTTTGGGTTAGAATTGGGAGGTTACAGTGGAGAATGAAAAAGAAAGAGAGAGAGAGAGAGAGAGAGAGAGAGAGAGAGAGAGAGAGAGAGAGAGGTGAAGTGGTAAGCATGGGAAAGACTTCTTCTGAAACTCTCTGACAAAGCATATCTTTCATATGTCCGAACAGGCAGTTTATCATCACAATTACGGTTCTGCCCATGCGATATTTTGTATTTTACAATCACGTCGCGTGGCTGTATTCATAAGTTAGCTTCGAGTCCAATATTTTGGCCCCATCAAATTATGTATGTGTTAAATATTAATATCTTCGCATTTAAAGGATTTGTTATATTTCGGTTGTATATTTATTTGTATGCCAAAGAGTCGCATCAAAGATCCAATGATTGATTTTTTAAACATATACATATATACTGTTTATACATCTTATATTTTCATATTAAATCGCAAAAGCTTCAGAAATGTTAGTGAGATTATCTTTTTTAGGGGTCAACTAACAATGTTTAAGTAGTACAAACTGTTTCTCCGAGTTAGAACTATCGTAAATTGTTTAGTTTGCCATTGTTTTCGTATTGTGTTACATTGCTTCTTTTAAACAAATCAACTTTTTGTTGTGCAAATTATTTCTTGTACAAAAAACAAAAAGAAATCTTGTATGTAAGAAGAGGTTAATATCTTCTAACGGATATGTAATGAGTTTATGTAATTAAACCTTTGAAATGATTTTTTTCTGAAAAAAAAAAATACAATGAATTAGACGTCTAAATAACATACTAATTGCTAATCTCATATCATATGAGACGGGATGATGACTACTGACTAGTGATTACGTACTACGTCGGCTATACAAATTGTAATTAATCTTAAGATATTATCCTCGTACTGAGACTAAAACATATTACATATATAGTACTCCACTAGATATATCTTATTGAACTACGATGCTTGAACATGCTAGAATCATTTCTTAGATATTACAGTACGTACTTATGTTTTTGTGGTTAAAATAAATAAGTATCGAATTTTACTTTGCGTGTGAAATTGAAACAAAAACATAAATAGGTATTTTCGCGAGAGGCTTCTTTTGGAATATGGGAAGTTACGCGTAGAGGAAAGAGCTTTCGAGAAATCAATCACTTGCATTGTTTTCAGAAACTTCTTTTGTATTGGAAATATAATGGAGGCAATGTCAAAAAGGTAAAATTAAATCCCTTGCTTCAACTACAAGGAAACTAATCGTCTAACATTTGTTGTAAGTTTAAGGTTTGAACAGTGAAATATAGTTGCCACTTGCCGCAATTTTTAATTACAAAGCCATCTTTGAAAATTGAAATAATTATTTATTATAGTATATTAGCTTAAGCCTATTACATATCGCTTTCAAATGCACGAATATTAATATCAATCTTGAATAGTGATTTTTAACAATTGTCATAGTGGTATAACAGTTCATCGTAAAATGCTTTCGTTCAAAACCTTACTATATCAATCTTTTCTTCTTTCCAAAATAGATATCTTCCGTTTGAGTTATGACTGATTCGTCCAAGTCTTACTAATTTTTAATTAACACGTCAATTTCACAAAGAAAATATTTTGAAAAGATGGATTTGGAAACACATATAACAAAATTTACCCTAATAATAAAAATAGGTGGGGAAAGAGGTTAAGTTGAATTTTGGGGAGGAATGATCTAAGCGGTTGGTAGGGATGATGAGAGGGCACGTGGAGGGTGAAGAAACGTGAGAGTTCGATGTCCACATAAATTGGATTGTCGACTTGTCGGCCACCCCGCTTTATCTGCTGATTCATAGAGCTCCTGTGGCCTGTTCGGGTGGTTCCTCTTCCACCACGTCACACCGTATAAATCTTCTTAAAGAATGATAAAACTATTTGGTTATCGAGAATGTACGTAGCCTATGTGTACAAATATGGTACTTGTAATCGCAATTATTCTGTCCGGTTGTCATATTTAAGTTATCGCAACTATCTTTTGTACATCCTCCTAACCAAATTTAGATCTATAGTCCATAGTTTTGTGGATTCCTTTTTTTAATAGGCCCTTTAAAATATGTATAGTACATATATATGATTGATAACCCTAAGTTTAAACGAATGTACCGTACCTTGTAGAATTCATCTATGATCAAACCAAATAGTCTCAAGTTCAGTATTCAGTTACCATATTTGTATATTTGAATTGGAGTAAACTATATATGTAAGATAAATTATTGCTTAAAGATCATTTTAATATATGTGTGTGAAATGTGAATTTTTAAATCTATATATAATCAGAATTTTGCATTAATTTGAACGTACCTATATACAGTATATATCCCTTGAAATATCCATGGCTTTGCATATATCATATTGGATGATGTCCGTATATTTTCAGAAATTATGAAACTGACCCGTATTTTAGTGGAAAGAGCAAATAGGACCACTAAAGTGGGTAAAGCAAATGTCGGGTAGAAAGTGCAAACTGCAAACACAACAATAGTGACATGAAGACATATAGTAATACAATGCTCATCGCTCCCTATGTCATGGATGCATGGCAGTGATGAGAATTAGCAGTGGATTACATATCCCATTGTTTCGTTTGGGTTTTTATTATCATAGACATTTAAACTCTAGTTCTGGTTAATTTATGATTAGTTTATCCAAAAAAAGAAATATCATAGACAATTGATGAATGATGGTTGATAACTCGATATAGCAATGAATGCTTATACTGTTGCGTAATATATATTAGCAGTAGTGTAATATAGTAATAGAATATTAACAAAAGATTTGACCAAATAAAAAAAATCATTCTTTGTTGTTATATAAAAAATAAAAATAAAAAATTCTTTTTTTTAACTATTTCGATCGATGATAACGACCAAAACATTGTTGTCAAAAATTACCTTTTTTTTTTTTTTTTTTGCTGAAAGAGTAACTGTAACCTAACCGAAGAAATTAAAAAATACGAATAAGGAACTAAGCGTTGAACATGTATCAAAATGTAACATAGTTGTCGAAACAACAACATCAAAATAAACGAGGTTATACGAAATTGAAAACAAATTGGCCTCGTTCTCGTTTCTATGATATCATTATTTCTTAACAAATTTATTTGGCTGAAAAAGACATAGCTAGGGCAGACAAATCTATAGTAACTTATGAGATCTCGAGTTAGAGACACGGTAATTACTAGAATATCAAGTCACTTAAATTGTACGAACTGACGAAAATAAAAGATTGGAAAATTAGATCTACAAATTAAAGGTTGTAAACTTGATGGCTTTAACCTTTGGTTTTGATGAGTTTGGTTCATAAGCTGGTTTTATGTGACTTGTGTCTCATAACTAACTATAGGAAGAAAAAAACAGAACAAAACTTTGTTTTAATTGGGTGGATGCATGCATTTGTATACACACATTTGTATACACACATATATATATATATATATATATTAAGAATGTAAATATTCACAAATTACATTAAAAAAAAAAATTACATAAACGATTTTGTAATCTCTCCACTATAAAACCCTGAGAGAGAGGAATGAAGGAAACTATATACAGCTTGACAAGGGTACGGTATCTAAACACTTGGTGTATTTAGAAGCCTTTCAAAAGCAGCCTGAAGGAACTGTGCCATTATCGCTTAGTGAGAATCTCAAAGCAATCGTCATCGTCTTATAGACGAGTAGACGACTATAGTTAAACGTCAATTTAAACCATGACGAAAACTAAAATAGTACTGATTAAGATCGAATTGACATAAATATATAAACGTCTTATATATCCATTATATTTTAGTGTTCATGCAAAGAACCAACCTTGTTCATCACACATGCGCTTCGATACGACGCCGTTATACTTATCACAAAATCCTATTATTAATTTACAATTCTCACACGTATTTCGGATATCATCCTTCTATTGATCACTACACCAATATGCATGTGTGAATCTACTGAAATCACCTTTTACATTCACTAGTCCGCTCAATTTTTGGAATTCAACTCGACAGATTTGATTAATAATGTAACTAATAATATATATTTGATGAATAATTACGTATATGGGAACATATATCAGCAACCGAATGCGGCGCAAGTTTGTACTAAATGAGTTTTTTTTTTGCGTGATTTATAAACTAAGATAAATATATCATATATAATAACATGTTATCAAATATAAAATATGATATTGTTAAAAATAATGAGCAAATTGATTTATTCGTAAAACACATACAAATAAATAAACGAGCTACAAAAAAAAAAAAAAAAAAAACAAAAAAGTTGACCCCATCGAGAGACATAGGTGCACACAGATTGGTACGCACAGGTGTCCTTCGGTAGGAGCTAGCAATTTCAAAAATCTCATACGGAGTTACGGACCATACCATAAGGTTATGCCTACAAACGAAGACTAGATATACAGACTTACTTTTTCATCTTTATCTATACAATAAATAAATTCCGAAATTTGATAAGACCATCTCGAAATTATCAGTCCCCTAAAAAATAAATGGTTTATCATTGAGAGCTATGAAAAAATAAATATACAATATGGTATGATCAGTAATATACTATTTTAGGGGAGAGAGATACAGTAGCCTAATACATACATATATACGAGAGAGAGTGCTTGCTTGCTAAAACGACGAGGGGGTGTGTCAGTGAGTTGAGTGGAAAGGTCAGCATCAATGCTCAAGGTTCAGTCGTCGGTGGTCGGTTGAGATAGCAAAGTCTTTTGAACAGGCCCATGGGTCCTAGCTCGTTACACCATCATCACATCTGTCACGTGATCATTGGGGCCACCCCATGAAGGCCCATCTCCCATCAACATCTCCACAGCTCTCTCTCGTCTATCATACTTCCATTTATTATACATACTTCACGTACATACAAATACACACACATACGGCTGGGTTAACAAACAGATTGTGATATGTTTTTTGATTTGGATTGATCTTTAGGACTGCTTCCAATACGATAGGTCGATGTCTTTTGTTTTTATTTGGTTGTGGATGTCGAAAAATGTCATTTATGTTTGACATTTTGCGGATAGTTGTGAGCATCAATGCGAGCGGACGCCCGATCTCGGTTCATCAATTCATCATCATCATCATCATCTAAACAAGATCTGTTTTGTGCGCTCCAAATCATTTGCTGTATTGAATGTTTTCTTTGATGTATCAATTTCTCTTTTTGTCGTGTTCAAAGGGATATAGGAGGAGTATGATATATATAATTGGCGGTAAATTTCGTAAAAATAATATAAATACATGGAGACATAATGGAATTTCTCTTTGGATTAAAAGAATAACATATCATTGGCGCCATAGATCAGGAGGTTTATATCTCATGTTTTATAATTTATTAATTTACATTTTGTTTCAAAAAATACATTTACATCTGATATTAGAATATTTTTTAGTAAGATCTGCGAACCTATTCATTCATATCTATCTGCAATCTAACAACAAGAAACACTAATCATCATCATGGTATTTTGAGTAGGTTTTAGGTTAAGAGAACCACCATTATTTATTTTACTTTGACGGATAATGAGAAACGAGATGAGAGCTATGAATACAAAGGGCCGAACTTAAAAGCCTCGTAAGGTCCAACCCATGACTTGAGGACTTATGTCTGGTCCAGGAGATACTAATTAAGTTATCATATGTGTTACAATGCAAAATGTTTTTCTTTGGCCAATGTTAAGCTATTCAGATTTGTTTTACCCTCCAAACAAAGATCATTCTCCCATTACATTGCTTTCCATTTTAACTAGTTAACATAGACTACAATACAAGCTAATTTTTAACTATTCTATTTGTATATATATTACTTAGATTTTTTACTTTTTTTTTTGTGCAACACTAAGATCTCTTTCCATTTTTACAATTTTTTTGTGGTCAACTCCATTTTACTATTTATCATGCAAATTCACTACTAAGTCAGTTTTAACTATTTCACCTTACAAGAAAAGTTCAAGTTTTACTATTCTATCTATACATGATTACTAAGATTTCATTCCATTTTAATTATTCAGCCTAAAACTACAATACTAATTTCAATTTAACACTCCTAAACTACAATACAAATTCAATGTTAACTCTTAATCTCTTATACCTAAACTGTTAATTATATATAAATGTAATTTTTTAAAATGTGCGGTAATAATCATTCCTACATACATTTTCATATCCAGTTATCCATTATTTCTACTAAATTGATCAAATTTAGCAAATAAATAAAGAACCCAACATAAAATTTGTTAATTATGCGGGAAAATAACTAATTTTAGTAATGTTATTTTTTTCGGTAGTTAAAAAAACAAAAAAACAAACCTAGATTTCACTAAATTCATTATAGTATAAAAAAAGTTGAAAAAACTAAAGATACATTATAAATTCATAGGCTCTGAATGGCAACTGCGTTTTCACTGCGAAAAAAATGCGGTGTGGTTCAAATAGTAACGAAAATACATAAATACTAGGTTCGGACCCGCGCTACAGCGCGGAGGAAATAATTACATATATATAACTTTTATCGGATTAGAATATGTTACATTTTAATTTTGTTAGAGTGCAGTCGATTACGGTAAATCATATATTTGTATAGTAAGTTTAAATAAAATAATAAAGGAAAAAGCGAGTAAATAATCATAACTGAGTTTTGATACAATTAAAAACACGGTAAAAATTTAACAGCACGAAATAATATTTGTCGATAAATTATTCATTTTGGCAATTTTTGTAGTAAAAGTAGGAATATACGTAAAAATTACATATTTACAATATATTTTTGAAAGTCCAACCCGTAACAGAATTCATTCGTAAAAAACATTATTCGTAACTCGTTTTATCATTATAATTGTGATTTTAACAAACTACCCGTGATTTATCTAAAATTTACATATTTTGAATATAATATATTTTATCAATAAAAATTATGTCTCCAAAATTACATTTATATCTTCAAAAAAATATTTCGATATTTTAAATTCTAAAAGTTTTATATATATGAACCTTTTATTTATAATATTTTGACACTATTTGAAATATTAAATATGCTCATGTAACAATGGTTTTAATATTGGTCATACTTATAATGATTTTAGGGGGAATTCCAAAAATATCCCTTTTAATATACCTCTTTTTAAAAATACCCCCTTTTCAAACTTTATCAAAAAACCCACTAAAAATTTGAAATTTATCCAAATATGTGTGTAAACTTATAAATAACTTTATATAACTTTCATAAATAGCGTAAAAATAAATTATAAAAACCTTATAAGAACTTTATAAAAACCGTATAAATCCTTTTAAAAACCTTTTAAAAACCTTACAAAACTTATAAAAATGATTTAAAACTATTTAAAACATTTTTAAATATTTTTATCGAATCTCCCAATAGTAGTTATTATATAGAAGTAGCTTATAAACTATATAAAACTTTATAATTTTTTATATTTAAAAAGGGGTATTTTTGAAAATGGATAGATAAAGGGGGTATTTTTAAAAAGGGGTACAACAAAAAGGGTATTTCTCAAAAATTCTCATGACTTTAAACCGTTGTCCAAAATATTTAACCGAGTGTAGTTGAGTATTATATGTCCGTTTTGAAAAATTCAATTTGCAACATATGCAAAAAAAAAGTTAAATTTTTATTAAATATTTATATTATATAGTATAATATCATAAATTAAAAATAATATCAAGTAAAAGTGAAAGAAGAATAATATTTTTTAGATAGATTGAATTAAATTAGTTAGAGAAATATTAGTAAATCTTATAATTAGTTATGGAAATAATACAATCCTAAAATTAGATTTGGAAAGTATCCGGTGTATGTATTCAAACCCACTAATCTATCCAATTTTAAAAGATCCAATTACAAATTTCGGGTAATTTTTTGAAATTGACCCGACCCGAAAACACTTTTTGTACTTTTCTTTTACTAATATAGGGATATATATATATATATATAAAATATTTTGATACTGTTACCATTCGGAGCGATAGCCATTAGTAAAAAAAACGTTCAAAAATTCCAACAAAGAAAAAAAAAAACCTTTCAAAAACCCGAGTGAAGCGTATGACGAGCGAGAGTGCCACATCTCCGGCGATTCCGCCTCCGCCTGAGCATCAGCCACTGCCGCAGAACTCAGTCTATCCCGAAACTGTTCCCGCCGCACCTCCCTCTCCGCCGCCGCCTCAAATTACGGTACTCTCTTCTCTCTCTGCTCTCTCCCTCTCTCTCTCTGAGTAATTTACACTAGGATCTGTAACTCCGACTGTGTTACAGATGGAGGATATTGTAAATAGCAACGGAATACTAACAGATCAATTGAATGAAGAAGACCCATCTTTTTACAAGTAATTTTGCTTCTTTCCATGTTTTGAAAATTCGTTCTTTGGTGCATTGTTCCTTACCGTAGCGAACCTAAAATTGAATGTTGCACAAATTACCAAATTTCGTATTTTTAGATATCTCGAGAGTGAAGAGTATGCTGAGAAGTATCGAAGGTACGAAGATAACTTTAAGCAGTATATTGTGGATAAGTACTTCTCTGGAGGTTAGTTTCCATATTGTTGTCTCCATTGTTTCTTTGGGGTCCAAAGTTCATAAAGATTTGATCTTTTCGGGTGTTGTTGTTGTTATTGTTTCAGATGATATGTATGAGGAGAGAACAACAATCGACGGTGAAACCATTTATTCAAGCAAGTAAGTAAACTAGATAGGTGTTTGAAACAGAGATCTTGTCATATAAGTTTTCGAGGGTGTTGTAATTTGGGGTTAATACTCTTTATCATCTTGGTTTTTGGTTGCTACTTTCAGGTGGCCTTCTTTGTATTCGTTTTCAGACTCGGATGATTCATTTGTAGACCCTGTACAATGCATTATTGAAGATGAAGAAAAAGTAGAGGGAGAAGGAGACGAAGAAGAAGAAGAAGTTGAAGAAGTAGAAGCAGCAGCAGAAGAAGAAGTTGAAGAGGTAGAAGACGTAATGGAAGTTGAAGAGAGCGTAGATTCAGCTTCTGCAGTGATGCCCAATGGTGAAATCTCCAATGGAGGCACTGTCTTAGAGAAGAAGGACAATTGTTGATGTAGGCAAGATACCAAAAATGCTCGTTTAAGTTCGTTTTTTCGGTGTTGACATTGTTTGGATGAACCTTTTGCTTAAGTTCATTTACTTCAAAGACCAATAATGTGATACACATTATGTTTGAGGTAACTGTGAAACCACTCAACCAGTATAGTTGAATTATAGCTATTGCAGTGTTGTTATCTATAATCTATATACAAATGCAAGTAAGTAATTGCAGTATAGAAGTCAAACATATATGGGTCAATCATAGTACTACTGGCTTAAACTTAACATAATAAACACACCAAGAAGCAGAAGAGTGGAATATGAAACTTTATCTTATTTACCAAAGGGGCTGTTTGTGGGACGGTTTGACGTTTCTCCTCTGAGAAGATTCACATTGCGGTCATTGATGTTGCTCTCAGCATTTCTCATGGGTAATAGCACATCTGCCATGAGCAAGTGAAAGGAAGAGACTTTCTCTTTCAGCTGAGAGTTCTCCTGCAGGACCTGGTGGTTGCTTTCCAACAAGTTGATGACTTTCTCAGACAAGTGATGATTCAACATCATGAGCTGTTCAACTTGTTGCTGGAGCTCTTCTATCTGCTTCTTCTTGCGCATACGTGACCTTCTTGCAGATTCCCGGTTAGAGACCATTCTTCTTGCCCTTCTTTCTTCTGGAGCAAGAGCCTCATGATGGAATATGTTCAGTGCATTTGGGTCTAACTGAGACTGATGATTGTTGCTGCGGGTCGAGACTGACTGCAACTGAACAGAGAAGTCGGTGTTTGATAGGAATGCCGAGTTGAAATGATCGTCTTGTGGTGGGACTCCATCAAGAATATCGAAACAATGAGAACGATGGACACCAGGCTCCATGTAGGGTTTCAGATGTCTAATCATCAAAATGAATACTCTGTGATGAAAGAACACCAAAAGTGAGAGATGGAGAAGATAGAGAGTGACAGAATGAGAGATTTAGGGAAAGAGACAAAATGAGACAGAGAGAGATTGACTACGTTAGAGAAGAGACATAAGATTTGTGTAGGCTCTTACTTAAGATTGATGGATGCTATTTAACGACACATAAATTTACTTGCATGAAGACAACTGTAATTACATTTATTTTCTTGCTTATGCATTGGAAAAACTTTCCACTAACAAAACAATCTAGTGACACTTTTTGACAAAATTTCACTTATTTACATCTTTGTCAATGTGAAGGTATCTTCTTTATCTGCATTTTGTTTCTCAAGATAACCTCTTTTTTCATGTCTTTGTGTAATATTTTATTTCGCTACATTTTACATGTGATGAGCCGTTTAGTCACACATTTAACTTGACATATCAACGCAAATCCATATAAACATTGTTTTGATCATTTGAAATTCTTGAAAGGAAGATGAATCTAATAAATGGTACCATTTGATTAATTCTATTCAAAAATGTCCTTCTGTTTATTCTTATTATCTCAACTCAACTCATTTATTTATTCTTAAAAGATTTAGTTATGTGCGTATCCGACGTATGCTAATTCGTGTATAATACAATAATGTTGGCGTCATCATTAGGACTTCGTAGAGAAAACAGGTCGGTGGATGCTAACTTGCACGTTTTTAGCTATTTTTCACTCGAAAATTACTGTTCCAAGTTTAATCGTCAATTTAGAAAATCCTAAGATTAGGAAAAAATTCTTTAAAAGTAAGAATTAGCGTAAGTTAGTACCATTAGCGTAACTTAACCAAACTGTCTACCTAATTGTACAAGGACAATGCTAATGTTGTAAAAGTTGTTTGTCTTAATTATTTTTCTTGTAATTGGATCACAATCATATGAACCAGAAAATATTGCCGATAGTAAAATACAACCTAATGCGATAAAGTCAAAAAACATTAATGCATTGATTCCAGACCGAGATTAAGGGAATAAACTTGAATTTCAAAGGCTTAATTCACACATTAAAGAGAGATAATGATGCTTAACAGCTTTGAACAATGTGAACCAAAAATGTGATTAACGTTGCGGAGAGGCAATGTTTTGTTTCCAGAAACGGGCAATGACTCTAAATTTCATGCAAGTTTCGTCTCAGCCAACTTGAACCCACTGAGGCTCTCTCTCTCTATCCCAGCTCATGTCTTCAATACTCATATCACACTTATCGCAAACGAATCTCTAGCTGATCAGATGTCACAAACAAAGAATATTCTAAAGAAGAAAAAGATTATCTTCTGAAAAAATGCGTTGAAAGTCATTACTGAAATATCACAATCTGTAAAAATCCTGCTGAGCAGTGTCATCAAAATGTATCAGTTTAGTTTGCTGATTGTTAATACAAGTTGAATATAAGACTAACAATGAAAAATCCTGTAAGAGATTCAATTTCAGAGAGAAAATAATACATAATTTGGTTCATACTTCATATAAGAGATATGATTATCTTCTACAATCTACAGACAGGTCAAGTTATCCTATTAATTACACAAGCAAGTCATATCATCTTCTTCTCTTGTAAACCCTAACTTTCAGGGTCTTCAGAACCGTGACCCTGCTCAGTCTTCAGTCTGAAGGCAACTCAAAACGACAAACAGGACAAGTGTTCCTAATCCCAAGCCATGGAACGATACATTCACTATGGTACCTATGTCTACAAGGCAACTCTGCAACCTCCTTTCCCAAATTCATCTCTTCTTTGCAAACCGCACAACACATCCCGTCATCGTTCTCCATCACATCCTCATTCGTCAAAGGAAACACTTTCAGATTCTTTATGAACGATTTGGATGCTGGAGGCTTACCAAGACCAGATGAAATCTCAGCCTCAAACAACATCTCATATTCTGTTGAATGAAGATAATCTTCACCATCTTCTTCCTCACGATCGATATCACCAATGTATAACTCCATGCTGCTTTCTGCATCATCTAGGTTAAACTCGAGACTACTAGAATTTAACAAAACCTCCCACCCTAGACTACTAGTTGCCCTTCTCTCACTTATCGCTAAATCTTCTAAAGAAATTGTGGCTGAAACAGAGACTGATACCGAATTATTATCATCAGCTTCTTCTGCCAAAGCACTTAAAACCTCCCTTTCATCATCATCACCATCAACTTCTTCCCACTCGAACTCCTCGTTGTTTATTCGTAAATCTTCTAATTGAAGTGAATCCCAACAGAGAGGCAATGTCACACTAGCATCTGTTTCATCATCATCCTCATTCACATATTCATCATCTTCATTCAAATCTATTCCCCAAATCTCACTATCCTCCTTCTCTGACTCATCTCCATCATCAGAATCAAAACGCAATTCCACTGTGTCTATAACATTGCGTGACCCAGTCCCTAATAACCTCATCCCATCAACGTAATCGTGATCATTAAGGTATACTACAAGATCACTATCAACGAAACCGCTACAAGATTCTAACTCAAATCCAAAATCATGTTCCAAACTATCCCCACGTATTTCGCGATTTACGAAATCACGAAGCGGACTTACATGAGATTGCTCAACGCGCTGGTGGAACAGATCCATGACAAAGCTACGCCGATCGGGCAGATCAATACCGTCGGCGGCCGTGAATAATAAATCAGAAACCGTAACGTTTCCGGAAGAAAAATCGAATTCAGAGACGTAGAGGTCGACGTCGTCTGATTGGACCCAGTGAGGAAGCGAATTGAAGATCTGAGACTGGGATTGATCTCTCAGGTGATCATGTAGACGCCGTTGGTGGTCGTAAGGGTTATAACGGTTGAAAACGGCATCGTTAGCATCGTGGATCTGAAGGCAAGACATCTCCGCCATTTTTCCCGGCCTTGAATCGGATCTCTTTCTCTCTCTCTCTCTCGTTTTAACAAGGGAATGATGAAGCTTAAACAATTGTTTAATAAAAGGGACATAATAATATTCGATGGACTCAAAATTGTTTTGATGGGCCTAACTTAAATGGGCTTCTTGGAACTGACTCGAGTAATTTTATTTCATACGGACTCTGGTAAACATTGTATATATTGGGGGAGGAGTGTCTTTTGTGCAAGTTGACCAAAGTATTTTTTAATTTTATAATGAAGTTGTGTGATTTTGTGAAGATAATGTGACATTTGGTTGTTAGACACATGTTGTCATACGACATAGTTAACATGTACATGAATAAATTGGATATGGCTAAGTTGTTTTGGATAAATTAGTGTGATGAGAGGTTTTTTTTTTTTTTGCATTGTATATGTTTTTCATATGATTGAGTAAATGAAACTTTAATTGACTTAAAATAATTGAATCTCTTTTAAAACAAGCATGGCCTATATTTCTTTATATACAAGCCTCATTCAGAATTACAGCTATATAATTTGATCATATGTCTATGTATGTATGTTTTAACATTTATGTAAATTTGAATTTTGATATCTATTTAAAAAAATAATAATAATAAAAGGCTAATTTTTCCACTTACGGGTAATATATAGACATTGTCCATTGAAAATATTAGTGTATGTATATATAGCTGTTTTACTATGAGCTTTAGAAGCCTTTAGAGACTCAATATCCCACAGAGTATTAGATTAGTTTTGGCGTCATACAAGTATTGGTATAACGGTACAAAACTTTTATTACTATAATTTTCGTAAGTTATATTATTTTCCGGTACAACATTATGAAAATTCTATTGCCAATAGTTATTTAGATATTTTATACAACCTTATCATTTATAGTATATAATAATTGTTTGTTGTATATATCTTTTAATGTGATATTTTGAAGTTAGAACAAATTATAGATTAAAAAAGTAAGAATAATTTATCAGTTATAAAACTATATTTTTAAGAGCATATATGGGAAGGAAATAAAACATCACGTGAAGATGTCCTTGGAAAGTAAAACGCAATTTTGAAGTTTACATCTTTTCATATGAATTAAAATCTCATTCCTCACATCCACATGAGTTTTTTTTAGTATCCCAAAACGACTGTGTTAAAAATAAGAGCCTCTTGTCGTCGGTCTTCTACATCTCTTGGCCGGTGCTGGTTTAGTTTTCTTTTCTGATCTTTAATCCATACCGATATTGCAATTTATTATATTGCATCATAAAATACAATTATGTAGTCTCGAGTTCTATTAATTATTTCCCGATCTAACCTTTTTAAACATCCAAAATTTACATTTGGTTTGTAGAATTCTAAACCAAAACATCTCTAATATCTTCGGTTTGGTACAAAACCCAATCCTTGTAGTTGAAAAATCCAACGACACTTTAGAGTCTTTGACTATCACATTGTAATATCACTTTCTAGGGTTTAGTTACAGGCCTCTTTTTTCTTTCCTAACTAGTAACTACAATACGAATATACGATTATGGATGCATGTTTGATACATGTAAAATTAATAAAACCAAAATGTGTTATATAGTGTCGTACTTTTTTCATACAACAATTTATATCAGAAAAAACAGAGGACATAATAACCTAAACTCAAATAATATGTTATCTATCATATTTTATCATCATTAATCATATTATTAGAGTAAAGTTTATACACCATTTATAAATGAAAAAAACAAAATAAGTAAGTACTATTATTATCACATGGAAAATTAATGAAAATATATATAATCTAAAACACAATACAAGAAAAGTTCCCAAAACCAAGGCATTGAACAACATTGGACTTGGCACCTGTTATTTTTGTCTTTGTTTAGACAATCCCTAAGCACCATCAACATTCAAAACGGTTAAACGCATTTTGCATCTTGATTAATTTATATTACTTCAATAAACTAATCATGTAATTTTTTTAAAAGAAAAAGAAAGATAGTAAAGGTTATTGGAATACTAGCTTTGACCTTGAGCTTTTTTTCTTCGTCTTGGACTTTTTGTCGCTCTTTATAACATATCCCATTCTCTGTCTCCCTCTCTAAGAAGTAAGAAACACAAGTTTACTCTTCTTCTTCTGTTCATACGCACACACACACATTTATATATATGTACATCAATCCAAAGAAAGAAACAAGGAAGACGCAATGGTGTCCATAAGGGTTTTTTGCTATCTCTTAATATTTTTCGTTTTACAAGTACAAGCTAAAGTCTCCAATGCAAACTTTAATCGCCGAGGTATATATCTACTATGTATCCATGTATATACATTAATTCATTTCTATGTATGTTTCGGCGCCGTTAGTGTATAAACACGTACGTATGCTTGTCTTAAGATTTATAAACATGGTTATCAAAATTTCTCTATGTAGCTCAAAAATCGGAAAATAGTGAAAGTCTTAGAGCAAGCACTAGTAGTACTCAAATTGCCAACAAGGTACGTATTAATAGTACTCAATTCTCAAATCTCATAGGAAGTGGAAATTAGACATATTGGTTGTTGATCAATTAACGTTAACTTGAATCATTTATATTCTTCTTAGCTTGCTGAAGATGTAATTGAAAACCGAAAGACGTTGAAGCATGTAAACGTGAAGGTAGAGGCAAATGAGAAGAATGGTTTCGTGATAGAGAGTAAAGAAACGGTGAGGAAAAGAAAAAGCAAGAAGAGACTCACCAAAACTGCGAGTTTGACGGCCGATTATAGCAACCCTGGTCATCATCCTCCTAGGCACAACTAAAAGGACTATTTATATACATTTTAATTACATGAAAGAAGACCCAATCTTTCAGTTTTGCTGCATCGTTATTCATACTTTAATAGAGAAAACTATCAAACACATATTGTTTAAATGTATCTACTAATCAATGGTACGCGGAATATGGTCTTTTGAGTTAGACTTTTTTGTGTATTCAAGAGAAGTTTTTAGTTATTAATGTCACTATATAACTAGTATGTAGATGTTTCTCTTTCGGTTACTGAACGAAGTATATCCTCAGGCAAAAAAAACAGGAAGAAGAAAACCATTTTCGTTTGTTGTTGGAATTGCCTAGCAGTTTATATTCTGGTTTGGTTCTTTGTATAGTACGGTTTGGTTAGTATATAAGCATTCTTTTTATAATGATCACTTAAACATAATAAAATACGCAAATCAATATCCTTTAAAGCTGTTGGACTGAAACGAAAACTTTTTAAGCATGGAAACAAAAACTCAAATAGTATTCATGTCGAATTCCAACATGAGAGTTTATATAAACAATATATATAACTGATAACTTTTAACAAAACTGATTACTAAGTAGTTGGTTCAATTAATTGTTTTAAACTGAAACAGTAATTTAAAGATCGTATAATTTCTCTCTAATTATCATTTCTAAGAAAAACGTTATATAGTAATAAGTATTAAAAGAAATTGTAATATAAATATAAGAACATATAAATACTCCATAAAAAATTTGGCCTCAATAACTTGACACTCAAAATTTTCTCAACGTTTCCAAAACAAGAAATTTAAAAAAAAAATGAAGACATGTTTCTTGTTTGTCACCCTTCTAATTCTGATTTCATCATGTAAGGCTTATAATTATCGATCAAGTGAGATAAAAAAATACATGTAGCATATGTTTCTAACAGCCCTAAATTGTTCCATTTTTTATTTTTTTTGATATATGTTTAATAATAGGTGCATCAAATATTATGGCAAGACATGTCACAGAGAGAAAAACACCAATTTCTAATAACGGAGATAGGAGCCCTCAAAATCCACCAAATTATATGCGTTTTGGAAACTACAGAGGTGGTTTTATTCCTGAGCAATGTACACAAATATGTGCAGAGCATTGTTTCAGAAAACACAGGTTTCCGGTTTATTGTAGACTTAGTCCAGAACCAATTTGTCTTTGTAGTTCCTTTCTGATACCTCCTTACATTCAACCTTCTTCTCCTAAACAATCTATAAAATAAATATACCAAATTAGTCTCATATCTTCTTGAAATGTGTATATATCCACACTGGTTAACATTTGTATTTTGTATTGATGGATGACACATACACAAACTTATTTTAGATTTTGAATTGGGCTATTGAGGCCCCAAAAAAAACTACACAGAAGGAAATATAAAAATTGACCTCCTCTAGCTGGACTCTCTCTATAAGGCCCATCATTTTGGTTTCAAAAAAATGAATTTAATGTCCACTTTATGAACTTCTTCCTCATGTCAATAAAATCCGTTTCGCCGACTTTTTCTCATTGTTCAACTTAAGTTACAAAATTACGATACATTGATTTAGGCATTTCACAGATTTACCTGGTGGAGACTACATCCCTCTTTCACTTTTATACAAACTTAAAACTTAAAAGATAAACATTAAATATTTTTGTTGACACTTTCTGAATAATGAGATTTTTGTAAAACTAGATTAAAATGAAAATTTGCATAATTTTACCATATTGTTTACGTCATCGCTATTATATACAGTAATAAGATTGAAGAGTCTTTTTGAGGGAGAAAAAAGGCTGTATGATTTTATTTTTGTTTTCATATTGTAATTAATATAGTCGACCGTCGCATATTCGCCGAAATTACCAAACAAAAAAAACGTATGTATCATAACCATAGGTATCATAGACATACAACATGAAATGGTCCATTGCTCATTTATCATAATCATCATCATCATTATAGACCATAACCGACTTGGTGACTATAAATACAAACGAAAGGTTTCAACTTTCTCTCCCATTTCCTCCGACTCTGTCTCTACCCACTTCCTCCTCTCATCCCACTACTCTCTCTCTCACTAACTGAGTCATCTTCACCATGGGCGAGGTAACTGAGTCAAACCGCTCTCTCTTTTCTCAACTTTCTCGATTCTTCTTCTTATCCCGTTTTCCCCGAAACAAAAAAAATATCTGTTTTTTTTATTTTATATATAAAATGGGTTTTATTTGCTCACTCTGTTTTGTTTCTGAGCAGAAGAAGAACGAAGGAGATAACAAGAAGAAAGGTGGAGACAATGATAACAACAAGAAGAACGAAACGGCGTCCGTCACAGTCGTTTTGAAGGTTGACATGCATTGTGAAGGTTGCGCTTCCAGAATCGTCAAATGTGTTCGTTCTTTCCAAGGTTTGATTTTTTTTTTGTTTCCTCTCAACATTTCGATTTCTGTTAATGTGTGACATACGTAAATCAAAAGTTCGCATTTTTCGTATTCAGAACGTTGTGAAATCCCTTATTCCACGGAACCTGTTACTTGATTTTTTCGATAAAGATTCCTTTTTTGTTGGGTTGATTTTTACATTTACAAAAATGGTGTCTTTCAGGTGTTGAGACTGTGAAATCGGAGTCTGCAACAGGGAAGCTAACGGTGACCGGAGCTTTAGATCCGGCGAAACTGAGGGAGAAACTCGAAGAGAAGACAAAGAAAAAAGTCGATTTGGTTTCGCCTCAACCCAAAAAGGAGAAGGAGAAGGAGAAAGAGAACAACTCTAAGGACAAAAACAAAAACGATGATGACAAAAACAAACCGGAGGAGAAGAAGAAACCAGACAACAAGGAGAAGAAGCCCAAAGAGGTAAATCAATTCTCTGTTGCTTTCTACCAATTTGTTTCCATCTGTGAAGAATCTGATTCTTCAAATGTTTTCGTTTGCTAATTAAAAAATTTGACACTTTTGTTAATTTATTAATTAATTATAGACTCCGGTAACAACGGCGGTACTGAAGCTGAACTTCCATTGTCAAGGTTGTATTGGGAAAATCCAAAAGACTGTCACTAAAACCAAAGGTTTGTTTTTTTTCTTCCTTGTTTTGGGAAAACGCAGTTTCCTTTTTGTTTTGCTCACAGCGTTTAAATGGTGGGAACGCAGGTGTTGATGGTTTAACAATGGACAAAGAGAAGAACTTGGTGACGGTTAAAGGGACAATGGATGTGAAGAAGCTGGTCGAGAGTTTGAGTGAGAAGCTGAAACGTAAGGTGGAGATTGTCCCACCGGCGGCGAAGAAAGAGAAAGAAAATGGTAACGAGACCGGGGAGAAGAAGAAAGGAGGCGGCGGAGACGGTGGAAAAGAGAATTCCGGTAACAAAGGAGGCGGAGAGGGAGTGAATATGATGGAGTACATGGCGGCTCAGCCAGCTTACGGGTACGGGTATTATCCGGGTGGGCCGTATGGATACCCGGTTCAATCCCACGCGCCGCAGATCTTTAGCGATGAGAATCCTAACGCGTGTGTTGTTATGTGATAGCTGACGGGCGGCGGCTGAGACGTGGTTTGGTGGTAGAGATGTAAATATGGTTATAACCTTTGGGGTATTTTCGTATGTTACTACGGGTTTCAGTTTTGGAATTTATCTAGCTGTGCATTTTTAATTACTTTTAAGTTAAAACATGCAAATATATCCTACAAAGAGATTTAATAATTTTCTTTTGTCTAATGTTATTTTAATTTAATTGAGAATAAATATGAAAAAGCTTTTAGTTATATTGATCGTACTTGCTTCCTTCTATTCATAAAACCAATGCGACAATTTATACTCTACTTTAATAATGGGTTGTTGTATGTCATTTAAGATAAAACTAACTATGACAGCAATCAAATAAACCTAAAACGCCAAAGATGTAGTATTACATTGTGTTGTCTATGTTTGATATTCTAGGAAAATATAAAAACTATGTTCAAGTTGAAGAGAGTTTAATGATGAAATGCATGTATAGACTACTACATACAATAATGTATTTTTTTTTTTAAATGTCAATTTCTTGGCAATTAGCAATAAAAAAAACCTATTTTTACATTATTAAACTGAGTAAAATAATAATTTTTGGGGGTCTTATAAACTTGAGGACCCTTGATCAAAGTGATCCCTCTCCATGTGAAAGCTGAAAATTCGGGAATAAAATCTCAACTAATTCACCCGAACTAAGCTTTTGTACTTAACAACTAATGTAAGACCCAATTATTTAGAGTCGTTCGTTAAAACAGCATTACAAAAACTAGTCAGCAGCGCAACTCTTTCTTGGTTCGCTCTGGCATTAAATCACAAATTAGTCAATCGAACGTATTTTACTATAAACATCCCTCCCACAAAACAAAAACTTTCGTTATTTACTTATACACAAGAAACAAACAAGAGTTGTGTCTTGTGTGTGTCTATGTGCACAGTCTTTTAATAGTATTGACCAAAATTAAAAATAGCGACGATACACAAATACGGATACATCCTAATTAAAATTAAAAGCGAAGTGGTGAATGTGTTCATAAATGCTTAGTCAAAAGTACAATAATAAATGCATACTTATATATGAGTAAACCACTACTACAACCTTTGTAATAAATTTAGCTTACGTAGTTTCTTCTTTCCCACCACTCACTTGATTCGAACTCTCTCTCTCGTCTCAATCTCACATTTGTTTTTCCTTTTTTATTGTGAATTTTATAATTGTACATTAATATGTATTACAAATTTATATATACTAAAGTTTTACACCATATATTTCATACAAAATCTATGCCCACTCTAGTTTATATTTCCTGATTTATGTTATTGTTGATCGAACTATAATCATTCTTATTTTTCTTTTTCATTTTCAAGTTGGTGATGAAAAGAAAAAGTTGGTAATAAAGTTATAGTGGTGTGAAGAGAGTTAAGTGTCGTTATTAGGTGTCTCTCTTCGAAACTGTGAGCCAGTTGGATGGGAGACCTCTCTTGTCCTCTGCTTCATGCCCTCTCCCGTCTTGTAAGTTGTAACTGTTTCAGTATTTTCATATATATATTATTCCTTTGTTTTTGGACTCATTTGAAATCCCATTTTATATACTACCTATATAGTACAGTACTTTATATTATATTTTTAAGGATATGTTCAAAAAAACACTGATTTTGATATATGATAAATCAACGGTGGAGGAAGATGTATGAATCGAAGTCGAACCATTTGCCTAATGGAAGAAACAAACTATATAAAAAAGCAACGACCTAATAATGGATATGAAACTCTTTTTAGATGTTGTTGCTGCAAAAGAACAAAAATAAAAAAGACAAAATCTCATTTGTTTTCAGTTCTTATTAACAAATTTTAAGCCGATTGTAGTGTCCCAAAAAAGAGTTTAGGTAGGTTTACATTTGAAGTTAATACAGCAGGGTTAGTGTTTAACTTGCAGGTGAAAACAAAAAAACAAAAGTAGCATTGTTTTGGTTAAAAAGAGAAGTTTAGGTATATATGTTATGTTAGTGAATGCGATAAGTAAGTCAACATATAGTGAATGCCAACCCATGACATCAATGCTCGCATTACTATTTATTTCCATTTACTCTTTTATGGTAACGTAAAGCCAAAAAATTTATTCATTTCTTTCTTCCTAGAAATAAAAAATAGTCATTAATAAGAAATTTAAATTAACTTCAAGATAGTCGTCGTATTCATGTTTTTATTGTGCATGTGCGTTTGATGCGACATCTCATTGAATATTGATTTTAAGTTAATAATACATGCATGAACATGTGTTGAACATTTGGGATCATGATGCGGGGTGCTTCATGCATCATCATGAATCATGATGCTTCTTCACATTGATGTATGTTAGTTTCAAGGTTTCTTTCTAGGAAAGTTGCATTCGAGTTCGAGGAAACTAAAGGGTTTTCTAAAAATAAATTACACAAAAAGTAACTAATGAAGCTTTTTATCACGCTTATAAATTTCATCCTCTTTATCCTTTTTCTTACAAATAAAATATTAACTGGAATATTTATTTTTTTAGGGAAAACCTGTTTTCACTTTACAAAAATATAAAGTTTATCTGTTAATTCAGCTATAGTTGTCGAATTTCTTTTTGATAAGAAGCTTTAGTTGTATTCCAAAAGTGCATTCTAATTTTGAACCCAAAAAAAACAACTAAATAATGGTTGTTTAGTACTAGAAAAACAAAGAAACCTCATTCTATTATCTTCACACTTCTATAGATTATAGATCAAAATGAAAATGGTAAAGCAAGAGCTAATGTTATAAGCCAAAGGAACTCACTAAATCAATTATTGTTTTGTCGATACAGGGAGAGTTTGGTCGAGAAAGACAACCAAAATAGTTTAAGAAGAAGACACATGATTTTCCTCATTTGCATCTTTTATCAATAATTAAAGTTAGTTGCAAGGCAAGAAGTCGTTCTTCGTTTATACATTTTGGTTAATGCAATGACTAAAATAGTTTAAAATATTCAAATGGTTTCCTTAAGATAATCTTATAATTAAATTAGGGATCAAATGATTCCACATGTTTTTTTCTTTTCTTTTGCGTAGGCTTGATGATTGTCGTTGGCTCTTACCACGTGGGCTTTTTGTAGGGCATGCCAAGAAAAGTGGACCAAAAGACCATAAAAGAAAGAAAAAAAAAAGATAAAAGAAAAAAGAAGAAAGGAGAGGAAAAAAAAAGATAAAGAAAAAGGTAAAAAAATAAAGAGGAAAAAATACACATTGGAAGATGTTATAAGATTTTCAATGCAAGTCATAATTCGGATAAAACAAAAATGTGACAAGAATATTCGAAAATTCTTTATTACATGCATATATAATTTGTTGTTTTCATGATGCTCTTCATATACATTATATTTACATGCAGTTCAAAGCAAAAATAAATTCATTACTATACTTTTACCAAATCCAGCTATAACATGTATATATATACATTTTTTTATCTTTCTTTTTTTTTTGGAAAATTACCTACAATAACCTACCCTTTTCAAAAAATAGCTATGATAACCCACTTCATTTTTTATTTCTTACATAACTCACTTTTAATGTCAAGATTTTTTTAATTCCAAATTTATCCTTGTTAAAGATTTGGTATTAATTTGTTTAAACATTTTGTTCTTATGCTCTTCTATTTAATAGATTTTGATTTCCTTTGTCTAAAATAAAATCGTTGGAAACAATGAACACATGTGTCTCTTGTGTTTTGTTTTTTAATTAGCCAATGGACTTTTTAATATTAAATTTTGCTTAGTTGGGCTAATGGACCTTTTATATTTTTTTAAAAAGTAAATAATAGAATAACCTAAACATAATGAAGACAAAAAGACAAAAAAACGTTTGTGTTGTGCCACCACCGGCTTCTCAGCTCGCCGACAATTTCCAGGTCAATCTCTTCCACTCACAGATTGTTGTCCATTGTTTATTTCATTCTCACTACTAAATCTCTTGATTTGTCTCAGTATTAACATCTC